ATATATACACGCACACACGTACACACACACACATATACAACGCAACACATATATATATATAACGTTGCGTTGCGTGGTTAAAGGTCGGAAAATTGGGCCAAGGCGGATCACAATTATAGTGATGTGAACTAAGTAAATGTGTTAGGATTCCAGCCACGCATACCACTATAGGCAGACCAAGGCCGCGCACCAGTAATAGAGGACAGATGTTAGACTTCACCCTCCTACAAGCTTGTCACTGCATATATGAGCACAGTAGAGTACAGTCATGAAAACTCCTCCGGTGTGAGATTCATTATTGAGTATTCTTGAGTGTGTGGACATGTACATTGTACTAGCCTGATTAAATCGCTGCCCGGTTGCCTCCCGTCCAACATCCAGCCGCCCTAAAGCCAGTCCGTTTCTAACTTTTAGTCCGTCCATCTATTCCTACAACACTGTAAATATTGAAATATTTTATATTTCAATAACCTCTGGCCTCCTGCCATACTGAGGTATATTGTTACTTTTTTATACTGTCATTAGCCTAGGTTATGGATTGTACGTATGAGACATTTCTGTGATTTGTGACTTTATTGTGTTATGATGTGTGCATGTTTATATATATATGTATGTATTTCATAATGTGGGGCCCGACATCAGCTCAGCTGCCAGGGCTTCCACTGTATTGCAGTGTTGGCAATTTAAATAAATAAAATAAAGCCGCGGACGGTAGAGTTTGCGTTACACAGACTAGACATGTATGTATTACACACTCATACATTATGTCAAGAACTAAGCCTCCTCTCCTCTTATGTACCATAAACTTCAGGTGTTCATATCTACTCTCCACCGGTCCGCGCAACGAGACGAACCTGAGAAAAACGCCACCAGACCGACATGGAGTCTAAACCCGCTCCTCTCGCCGTCTGCTTGGCTGTGGTTTCCGTGTTCATCGCCCAACATGGACGGGTTAGAGGACAACTCCCCCCACCTGTGTGTCAGACCTGGAACTCAACAATTGTCGTGTGTAAAAGGGACTGGGCGGATTCAACCCGCGCGCCTCTAAACCAAGTACCTCCCGGCATCCCCGAGTCTGTCATCACGGTGGATCTCAGTGTAAACAACATAACTATACTGTATAACGGCTCGTTTAGTGGGTTAAGAAACCTGAAATCCTTAGACCTGTCTGGTAATCCTATACAGACTATCGAAGTCGGTGCGTTCGCTGGGTTGGAGAATTTAGAACGTCTTGAACTAATAGCACTTGGCAAGTATCCTCTTCAAAATGGACTTTTCCAAGATCTGCGAAACCTTAACTCTCTGACCGTGGAGACTCACACAGATACAGTCGCCAGTGAGGGAGTGTTCACGGGGTTATCTAAACTCAGGCATTTAGCACTCTCCGTGAAAAATATCAGCAATCTACCCGATCATATTTTTGATTCTTTGACTTCATTGGAACGTCTAGAGATACAGGAACTCAGTGATGAACATACATACATACATGTAGAAGAGGACCTAAATACCACCATGAGAAGAGTCCACAGCGGAAGTGGGTTCTTACAACGACGCCTGCTGTGGGCACCGCTGCACGACCTTAAAACATTGAGTCTGTACTATCTACCAAGAGCCAGTGACCACTACTTTGGACCTGTATTTAGAAACATGTCCAAGTTGGAGACTATAGAAATGTTTCCCTTCCCCTATTTACATATGTTAATGACCATCAATGTTGAAATGTTCCGGCCGCTGTTACCGACTCTTAAACATTTAATCACTGCCGCCCCGATAGCTCCCGGCCTGCTGAAGTCACTCACACATCTGCAGACGCTGGACGTCACTTCTTCTCCATATCCCGTCATTATCGACGTTCTGTCGGAACTCCGACACACGCAGGTTCAGGAACTGTCATTTTACCTGAGGGGAATTGACAATATAACATCTGATACTCTAGCGGGATTAAAAGGTCTGAAACATTTGAAAACATTACTTCTAAAGTTTAGCGACATGAGGGCCATACAAGCTAACGCCTTTGCGGGTTTGTCACATTTACAAAGGCTGGATCTGGCGTATGTCGCCTCCGAGACGTTGACTTTACACGACAAGGCGTTCAGCGGACTGTCCTCACTCACTCATCTTAACTTGACAGGTAACAGAATTTCTACTTTACCACCAGACGTGTTTGAAGGACTGTCCTCGCTCACTCATCTTAACTTGAGCTATAACAACTTGCGAACCTCCCAAGCTCAGCTTCCAGAGACGTTGGACTATCTTGATCTCAGTTACAATAAGCTACATAACAGACACACAGGTCAACCACCATGTGACAGCCCTTTATCATTTAACCTCAGTGGTTTAAAAAGCGTGAATCATCTGAATTTGAATCATAATGAAATTGGATATGTTGACGCCGATTGTCTACCTAGGAATATTACTGTGCTTGATTTGCAGCACAACAACATAGGATCCGTGTATAATCCATTCTGCTTTGCGAACTCGAGTTTACGGTATCTCGACCTTTCTAACAATGAAATCCATGCTTTTTATCAATATGATACACCATGTGAGCAATCAGTCTTAGAAACACTTAGGTTGGATAACAACGCGATAATAGATAAATCACTAGCACTATTATCACTAGTACTATGGCCCCGGAATCAAGTAATTTTGAAAATGTTGACTCTTTCTCACAACCAAGTCCAGCGTATTGAAACAGGACAATTGGCAGGGTTTGACCAGCTGGAACATCTGGATCTCAGTCATAACATGATCAACACCGTCATGCCATCCGCCTTCCGTGGACTATCGCGGCTACAGTTCCTGGATCTCGGTAACAACAAGATACAGTACATAACACAGATGACATTTGAAGGTTTAGGCAACCTTACACATTTAAACCTGGCAGCCAACAAGATAGCAGAGATCGGGGACGCCTTTCAGCGTCTGTACGGGTTGAGGCACCTGAATCTGAGCAGCAACAGGTTGGCTGTGTTTAATCAAACCACATTTGGTCCTGTTGTCTACCGGTTAGAGACTATCGACATTGCAGACAACCCGTTTCTATGTGACTGTAAGTTACTGTGGTTTGTTGAGTGGGCCCTGGATAAATACGACAGGGTAGCGAACTTCCACAACCCCTATCCCGACTTCGGTCGAGGGTACACATGCTTGACTCCAGCTCATCTGCGTGGAAGACGTTTGCCAGACGGGTTGACGCAGAAACAACACTCTAACGACAGACAGGATCCATCAGAACGAAAGTTCTTCGACAGAGACTGTAGTCATGGATTCCGGCCCAACCGCCTCCTGGCCTGTGTGCTCGCCTCGTCGGGCATCTTCGTCGCCATGACGACCATTTTCCTGGTTGACTACCACATCGGCCGTGTTCAGTACTACCTGTGGATGTTGGACAAGTGGAGGAGACCGAAGATTGGCGAAGTAAAGAACCAAGGGCCGCCCAGATACACGCACGATGCTTTTCTTGCCTACAACAACCGGGACGTCGGGTGGGTTATAAGGCAAGCGATAGAGAATCTGGAACCTGACTACAGTCTGGTCTTACACGAAAGGGACTTTGCAGTGGGCGCTCCCATTGTGGAAAACATCGCGGATGCCGTGGAAAACAGCCGGAGAACCGTCTGCCTCATCACCAGGCACTTCCTGAAGAGTAAGTGGTGCGAGTACGAGTTCCAGCTGGCCCAGTACCACATGTTTGAGGAGGGGGGAGGGAGGCGTCTCATCCTGGTGTTTCTGGAGAGGATTCCTAACGAAATGCTTAAACAGTTCCGCCATCTGAACGCCGTAGTAAAGAGGGACACGTACCTGATGTGGCCACACGACGTGCGGAAAAGGCCGCTGTTCTGGGGGCGGCTGCGAGACGCTCTGGGCGATCCTCTACCCCGGGACCCAGAGCCTCAGCAGCAGGCACAAGCCCCGGAACGGAACATTCCGGAACAACAGGCACGTGATCCGGAACGGAACATTCCGGAACAGGAGCCACAAGCTCTGGAACGGAACATTCCGGAGCAACAAGCTCCGGGACGGAACATTCAGGAAGAGCCGGTACGGAACATTCCGGAGCAGCAAGAACAGGCTCCAGCAAGGAACATTGTGGAAGTGCAGGTCCATGCCCCCGTGCGGAACATTCCGGAACTTCAGGTTGAAATAGCCCCAGATCCAGACGACCAGTGGTTCGGAGATGGGGATGACTTGCCTCTTATACCGCTGTAGATCAAGATCAAGTTTACTGTGTCAACAGAATGTTGTTTTTGGGTGGGCGTTTTTTTTTGTTTTCTTTGGAAAATGCATGTTGATTTTTCCGTAAAGTCATATCCCCACAAACTATACTCTACTCTGTACAGCACTGTGTACTTACCTGTATCAGATAGTAAACTTTACGATTCTCTTAAACTGTATTGTAACTTCATGTTCACCATCATATGTTTTTATGTCATTTGTTTTCAAATAGCCTTCTGCTACAGTTTTCTATGGACTTATAATGTTTACAACATTTATGAGTTATTAGTTGCCTTTATATTTTAAAAAAGTATGTGTATGAGTAGATATACTAGTAGTCTGTACAGCAATATGTAGTTTTAGCTAAGGATGGTTGAAAATTGCACAATTTTTTTCTGCATTTGTATGAATGATTAAATCGTTTTGACCGGTACACTTGGCTTTTTTTAATATAATATGTAAGTTTCATGCGTAAGTTAGATTTTAGTGTGCTGTCAATTGGTAGTTCGCCCTTCGACAGGAAGCAGGTAATATAGATCCAAACACTCTTGTCAGGGCCAGTATACAGGCTAGCTCCTCGGCTCCAGGGCTAGCCTGGGTGCCAGACTGTTGTTAGGGCCTGTATACAGGCCAGCTCCTCGGCTCCAGGGCTAGCATGGGTGCCACATTGTTGCCAGGGACAGTATACAGGCCAGCTCCTCAGCTCCAGGGCTAGCCTGGGTGCCGACTGTTGTTAGGGCTAGTATACAGGCTAGCTCCTCGACTCCAGGGCTAGCCTGGGTGCCAGACTGTTGCCAGGGCTAGTGTACAGGCTAGCTCCTCGGCTCCAGGGCTAGCCTGGGTGCCAGACTGTTGCCAGGGCTAGCTTCCTATTCCTTTAAGAGCGTTGTAGCCACTTGGAATTTATCGTAAAGCGTAAATGACAAATTTCCTGAATTTAGCGTAATACGTAGGCAGCTCTCGAAATTTAGCGCAGAGCGTTGTCGGCCCCCAGAAAGGCTCTACCACCCCTGTACTATCCCTAAGCCGGCCTGGTTACGATAATCTCCAAGCAGATGTTTCGTTGGCCGCAAAAGACAGTATCAAATTGGTCAGACAGTATCCATTGGGTTACAAATGGATACTGTCATGACTGTCTGGCCAACGGATACTGCCTGGCCAATTTGATACTGTCTCAAGTTTGCGGCCACCGAAACATCTGCTTGTAATTTATGGTTTACCATCGGAGGGGGGGGGGGTATCTGGGAACGGCAGCGGAAACGAGTTGAAGTTGTTCTCGGCAAAAAGCCAGATAGTTTACGCTGCTCTTTTGTTTACCGGAAGATCAGCTGTTTTAGAGCTTTATATAGTGCCAGGTCACGGCACCCAGGTTACGGAGACATAATGTTTTCTCCACCTGTCTGTTATGTGCTATAGTGCATTCGACATGTCGTGACAATTATTACGGAAACACAAGCAAGCAAGCACACAAATACTCAATACTGGCCCATTTACGCTGACATGTCGAATATGATATTTTACTTACTGCCTATTACTGGAAACGTAGATGATTGTGACTCTTCATATTTTCATTCACTCTCCAAGGATTCCTATATCAGCCTGGATGTCAGACTGTTCCCAGGGCTCACACAGGCCAGTTCCTCGCATCCAGGGCCAACATAGTCCCCCAAGGAAATTATACCACACCCCCTCAGTTAGCCTGGGTGCCGGACTGTTTCCAGGGCACACAGGCCAGCTCCTAGGCTCCAAGGCCAACATGCCCCCAAGGAAATACCACACAACCCCCCTCAGTTAGCCTGGGTTCCAGACCGTTCCCAGAGCCTACACAGGCCAGCTCCTCGGCTCCAGGGCCAACATGTACCCAAGGAAATAATGCTACACCCCCTCAGTTAGCCTGGGTGCCAGGCTGTTTCCAGGGCCTACACAGGCCAGTTCCTCGGCTCCAGGGCCAACATATCCCCAAGAATATACACCACAGCCCTCCTGAGCTAGACTGCCTAACTAGGGGTCATAATCATAATATATTAAATCTGCAAGCAGATGCTACGATGGCAGGGCCGTAACCAACGTCTCTCTTGTTTTCTATCACTAAGGGAGCACTTGGCCCTCACCCCAGACCGCGGTACCTGTCTGACCGTACCAGGACCGTACCGACCCTGGGCGGGATACCCTAGTCTCCATAGCATGCCAAAAACTGGGGGTTTGGGGGGTCTTCAGGGTCTTTGAGAGCTTTTTAATATGTGCTATTTTCTGATTGCATATAGACAACATACCCGGCATGGTTGAATTACCCCCGTTTTTTAAGAACTGGGAGAATCAGAAAACAGCCGAAGACCACCAAACCCCCTGTTCTATAAGCCTGCTACGGAGGCCAGGGATACCCCTTTGCCGAGTACCGAATAGAACAGAATAGGATCTCCAGTTGGCCGATTGGATACTGCCTCGTCACCGTAGGATCTGCTTGGAGATTACCCAGAAGCGCGGCAGAACTTTCGTCTCCCGGCTTCTGAGTAGCCCGCGCTTCCGCTGACGTCACGGCAAGCTGGTGGGGTGTATATAAGCAACAGGAGCGGGGCTGGCAGGAACAGTTTACAGCAAAACCTCGCTCTAAAACGGAACCCAGAGTCGGACAGTTTTATATACTTACACAGGAGGACAGCATGTGTCAAAGGTAAGTCAGGATTGCGTTTTTTATCATCGACCTGGTTTTAACCAACTTCGTAATCGTTATGTTTACTTCAGCAAGATTTTTTCTGTGCACTGAGTATTTAGCTTAGAGGACCCGCTAGAACTTATATTATATTGCAAACCAGATAAGTTATGTTTGTTTTGCCGTCTTTCCGGTATAAAATATCTTTTTATAAAATTTCTAATCGCTGACGCCTTTTGACATGCTTCATGAACATGAAAATCTGTATAAACCACATATCTATAAACGTTTCAAGGCTCCTGAGATTCTAAGTTTTAAACCTACTTTGTGTCGTTGTTCGCTTGCTTCCCGATTCTGTTTGTGCCTAGTCATTCCTGCAAACTTTGCAATTGATTTCTTTTTCTATCTATGAATCTAAGAATAGAAACACCAGCGTTGTATAGATATCTTTCAGGTCAACATTATTCAACTTTTAACTAGCACTATGTAAGAAAATGAATGAAAAATATTCAAATTATTTACGTTTTGGGGACTGGGGTGGAGTTTGTGTGGTTATGGGCATGAACTGACAAAAGATTTTGCGGAAATCCTCAAAACATTTACGCAAAAGTGAGGTTGACAAGTCGGTAAATTTTTGCTGCGAAGTACAGTAACTTGCAACCCGCCCACCCCTACGGCACAGTGGTTTGTCCCGTCTCAGGGGGATACCGGAAGTGCGGGTGGGCGGGGCTTCGCCGCTTCCGGGCACTTTCTGACTCTGAGGCACTGGAGCTACATTACACTTACAGCTAAACTTCCGTAGTTCTTGGAAATGTTTAAGCCTAGATACTGCAAAGTCACGCTGAGTTGGGGTCTAAAAGACTTAACACGACCTCGGCAGGCAGCCAAAGACCTAGTTATATACTAGGGCCTACGGTAACTTTCTGCTATTACGAATTACGTTAAAGTCTCAGAGCTGATTACGACTTTACGCTTTGCGGCTAATGTCCAATTATGAATTACGTTGATTTTTGGGGAGGCTGCCTACGAATTACGAAGTCTAAAACGGCCTGATTACGCCTTACGAAAAAGGGCTTGCAGGCCCTCTTTAACTTGGCCGATTTCCAATTTGGATTTTAGGCTGCCTCCTGGTGGAACATAAATCGCGTCTCTTGGCCGGTTTCCTCTTCAGTTTGCCAAGCAAAGGCGAATCGTTGAAGCATAATTTATGGTCTGAAAAGTATTTTCTTGGTAAACCACTCATTCATTCGTTCATTCATTCAATCATTTTAGTCAATCAAGACTCCTTGATTCATTCATTCATTCATTCATTCATTCCCCTCTGCCCAGCTAGTGGGTTAACCATTGAATTGAATCGATTTATTGATTGATTGATTGATTGATTCATTCATTCATTCATTCATTCATTCATTCATTCATTCATTCATTCATTCATTCATTCATTCATTCATTCATTCATTCATTCATTCATTCATTCATTCATTCATTCATTCATTCATTCATTCATTCATTCATTCATTCATTCATTCATTCATTCATTCATTCATTCATTCATTCATTCCCCTCAGGCCAGCTAGGGGTAAGTCATTCATTCATTAGTTGTTAAATGGAGTTTCATCATTTAAAAATAATATTTAAAACACTTATTGCCAATTTTCCAGATTACTTCTCATCCTAGTTGGTTTGGTTGCCATAGCAACATGGAGGGCGTCGGCCCAGGTCTCCGAGCAACAGCTGGCCGCGGCCGTTGCCCGGGCAACGCAGGCGGTGGACCGCGCCATTCAGGAGGAGGAGGACAGTTTTGTGGCAGGTGAGAAATTCACTTGACTTGAGGGTCTGCATGGGGGGATCCTGGTAATTAATCCTTAACGGTAAATTTAGGAGGGTTCGCTGACCCTTAACGGTAAATTCAGGAAGGCTAGTGCAATGCTTTACAGTAAATTAGCTTCATTGTTCTTTTGTTAGGCTATTATTAGGGACGACTTTATTGTTGGTTTCTTGCTGAAGCCTCTAAATCTGATGACGATGTGTGCATGTCCCCGGCCTGGCGCTTTTCTGGGGTCAAACTTGTGTTGTTTACATTGTTTTTGTTTGTTGTTCTCCGATGATGATGCACGCAAATCTCTGGCCAGCGAGCTCAAAATCACTTTACTTACGTTGTTTATTTTTTTGTTTTCATACTTAGTTAGTTTGTTCTTCTAGCTTCTGATGACGATAGTGCTGTTCCCAGATATCAAACTCACATTATTCATGTTGTTTGTTTGTTTGTTTGTTTTTTAGCTTCCGATGACGACGCGCGCATCTCCCCAGCCGGACGCCTCCTGGCGATGTTCCGCAAGTCCAAACCCGAGGCTCGACCAATCGCACGCAGCGCCGAGATCATGGAGGACGTCACTTCTCAACTCACCAGAACGTAAGACGTTACGATAAGACGCTAGAACGTAAGACTTTTGATAAGACGTTAGAACGTAAGGCTTTTGATAAGACGCTAGAACGTATTAGTGTAGGTTGTCAGGTCGCAGAAAAACCTGCTCGGAGACTGATCCGTTCTGTCTGTTATCATTCATTTTACAATGATGCTCATTTCTTTCGTGTTTCACACAATTTCACACTGATATTCTTCACAGAGTCTGCTACGATACAGTATAATTGAATAAAGTGTAGGTTACCAAATAATCTGCTTGAAAACTGATCTGTTCTGCCACTCCCCCTTCCCACAGAGGCCAGACTGACGCAGATTTCAGCGCGGCCTCGGATTCGCCATCCACGCGGCGGGTTTGCCAGAATACCGAGCTGCGTGACCTGACCTGTCCGCAACCCGACCCCGCCATACGAGAGTTCCGAACTATCGACGGGCGCTGCAATAACCTGGACAATCCGCTGTGGGGCGCTGCTATACAGCCCATGAAGAGGCTCCTGCGCCCACTGTATGCCGACAGTACGTAACTATCATGTTGATATTATGTTTATAGCTTCGCAGTTTCTTCTTCTTTTTCATCTGCCACAAACGAATAAGGTCATTTCTTCTGTTCGAACAAATAAGTTCAATGACCTGGATCAGACGGCTGTCACCATGGTAACTGGAGCTGTAGCAGACACCCTGTGGTGTTGTAATAATTGTAATCTACCAGCCCGATATCTCCTTGGAGCCTTCATGTTCTGATCTATGAACTTCACAAATTCTTATTTCACCCCCAAAAAATTAAGGTATCTGCCATCTCTGATTGCGTTGTTTCTCAGTGTTCGAAATACCTGTCTGCAGTCTGCAATATGCAGATAGATTTTCAAGATTGCAGAAGAAAAATTTATACAATCTGCAATTTTGCAGAAGGAAAAATAGGCTCCAGATTCAATAGTTTTCAATTTAGCAAGCTAGAACTCTCTGGCCCCAAGGACAGACAACATTTAAGCTCCTGTTTTGAAGCCGTTGAACAGGAGCTTCTTCACTAATTTGCATCATCCTTGTCTTGACTTGTCTATCTTTTGTTTCCCTTTGGACTTCCAAAAAATTGTCTTCACTAATTTGCATATGAATCAATAGTTCAGCTTATAAACCTGCAATTCTCTTAGTGTCACTGACGAAAGGTAGTAGTCTGACCGTTTCAGGTAGCACCAAAATCATATTGAGTTGCTTAAGAGTTAAGTACTGTTTTCTTGGTGCGTCTTTTATTAGTATGTTGTGTGGAAGGATGATATGTGGGTGTGATTACTAGTACATTAAGTTTTTTTTACAGTTAAGGTATGATTTTAGTTGTAGTAGCTTGTAGTGGGAGAGAGCGGTGAAAGACCCGTGAAGATACCAGTAAATGATAAATTTTCTGTGGAGAAGGAACTATAAAGTCTGAAATTAAAAAGAGTGATAGATTAAACTTAAAAGAATTCCAGTAATGCTACAGATTTACAAAGCTATATATGATGTAAAAAAGACATTTAATTTAATGGTTTGAGAATGTTGTAGTATGGAGGCTTAGGTATTTGCAGAAAGTGTTTTCAAATTGCAGAACAAAATTTTGACTCTTCTGCAATATTGCAGAGCACTGAAAAAAAGTATTTCGACCACTGTTTCTCAAAGAAGGCTGTTGTTGTGCAGGTGTATAGTTTGACCTGTAGTTTTACCTGTAGTTTCACCTGTTGTGCATGTGTGCAGTCTCACCTGTTTGTACAGATGTTTAGTCTCACATGTTGTCTTACCTGTTGTTTTACCTGTTGTACAGATGTGAAAATTACTTGTAGGTCTACCAGGTCCTGTTGTTGTACCTGTTGTTTTACCGTACCTGTTGTACAGGTGTGTAAATTTACCTGTAGTCTCACCTGCTGTGTTTCCTTGTTGTACAGGTGTTCAGTCGCCCCGTGTGCGCGGTCGAGGCGGTGCGGCCCTACCCAGTGCACGGGAGGTGAGCTTCACGCTTCACGAGGACATGCGAACCACCAGCACCGTCAACACTCACCTGGTCATGCAGTGGGGACAGTTCCTGGACCACGACATCACTCACACACCTGTCGCCTCAGGTATGTCGTCTCGTCTTAACCTTGGACATCTTAAACTCAAGGGGCTACCCTTAAGATCAATATAACAGATCGATATATTAAGATGTAAGGATCAGGCACTTTACCTGACTTTCTTCACTTCATGAATACCTAGCTTCGGATAGATCCCTATCCGAAGCTAGGTATTCATGAAGTGAGGAAAGGAAGTCCCTCAGATAGGACGTTAAATTGAGGTCCCATGTTTCAGGAGAGTCACACCCCGCGCACGTTAAAGAACCCACCGCACTTATCGAAAGATTAGGGGTCCTTCCTAGTGTGGGTGGTTCAAACCTTACAGTCTGGTCTTACGCAGCTTGTACATGCATGTACAAAACTGGTGTGTTATGCCTAAAAGGCAGTTTACTGGTTTAAGATATGTGAAACAAACAAAACAAAAACCATTTGTACCGTTGTCCCCCCCAGTGTACGACGGCGGTCTGCTCGCCTGTCCCTGCGGCTCCACCTTAAGTTATATCTAATAACTCTTAATACAGGTAGCAGGAAGCTACTACTAGTATCCTAGATTGACTGATCTCTCCGTTGTCCCCCCAGCGTACGGCGGCGGTCTGCTCGCCTGTCCCTGCGGTTCCACCGACCGCCGGTGCTTCAACATCCCGATCCCCGCCGGCGACCCCGACTTCTCCGGTCATTCCTGCATGGAGTTCGTGCGATCCAGCCCGGCGCCGAACCCCGGGTGCCGCGTCGGCCGCCGCCAGCAGCTGGACCAGATCACCGCCTTCATCGACGCCTCCATGGTCTACGGTTCATCTGAGGAGGAACTGGAGCATCTCAGGGACCCATCATTAGGTGGGGATTCTTATTACCTTAACATTTACTGTAGATTACTAAGATACATATAGCTGATGTGTTACACCGAAAGGCAGTTATACCGGCTAAACAGACACAGAAGACGTTATGATAAGACATCTGCATGGTGTACGGCTCATCTGAGGAGGAACTGGAGCATCTCAGGGACCCATCATTAGGTGGGGTTTACTTAAAGACTTTTAAATTACAATAAGACGTTAGAACGTAACATGTAACAGGGACCCATTATTAGTTGGGGTTTTTTCTTCTCGTTACCATAAGATGTTAGAACGTAAGATGTTATGATAAGACAATCTCCATGGACTACGTATGTCGTCTGAGGAGGAACTGGAGCATCTGAGGGATCCATCATTAGGTGGGGTTTACTTTTCTCGTTACCATAAGACATGAGGATGTAAGACCATGTTAGGATGTAAGACATTATGATAAGAAGCTTCCATGGTCTACGGGTCGTCTGAGGAGGAACTGGAGCATCTTAGGGACCCATCATTAGGTGGGGTTTTCTTAAGAATGTAGGACATTATGATAAGACATTAGAACGTAAGACGTAATGTTAGGATGTAAGACATTATGATAAGAAGCTTCCATGGTCTTCGGGTCTTCTGAGAAGGAACTGGAGCATCTTAGGGACCCGTCATTAGGTGGGGTTTACTTTTCTTGTTACCATAAGAAGTGAGGATGTAAGATGTTATACCCCCGGTATGATAATATCATGTTAGACAGGGCTGGGAAACATTTTTAACGAGGTTTTCTCTGTTCGGACCAGAGCGTGGCCAGCTAAAGTCCAAGGCCAACCCGGGAGACTCCAGGAAGAAGGAGCTGCTCCCCAGTGCCATCACTGAGGAGTTCCACTGTCCAGAGTCTTCCAACCCCAGCAGCCGAAACCAGCCCTGCTTCCAGGTATACTAAGTCTTACCTTTTACATATAAAGCAGATAGCCTTCTGATATAAGGCTTGTTAAGGTGCAATCTAAATGGTTCAATCCCAAGCAGTTCGTCACTTCTGCACATCATGATATAAAATTGTAGTAGCTGTAGAGTTAATGGGTCATCATACTTTAAGTTAGTATTCAATATTGGTCAACCCAACACACGTTTCCAGTGACTTACAATGAGTCTTGTTTTGGGGTAAATAAAATCAAATTCTACCTTACTTGTCTACTGATAGATAAGAGTCAGATGAACTTTCATAGCCTGAGTGTCAGCCTTGTTAGCTTTCGTCCGCTCCCCAAGATCCGCTCCCCCTCAACACGAAAGCTAACAAGACTGACACTCAGACTACTTAGAACTTTCATGCTTCGCAAAAATAAATCCGTTCCCTCTGCCCTGCAGGCTGGCGACGTCCGAGTGAATGAGCAGCCGGCTCTCACCTCCATGCACACCGTCTGGCTGCGCGAGCACAACCGCATCGCCGACCGCCTTCACGACATCAACTCACACTGGGACGAGGACCGCGTCTTCTACGAGACCCGCAAGATCATCGGCGCGGCAATCCAGCAGATCACCTACGCGGAGGACCTCCCGATCGTGCTCGGGCTGAACGCGATGAACGAATACGGGCTGGTGCTGCGCCAGAACGGCTACTACAGGTACCCTACTACATTTTTGTATTTATTAGTGTGTATATTTTCATGTGTCTGTAGGGGAGTCGGCCTTGGAGAGGAAACTACTGTTACTGTTGTCTTCTCCCCTCAGAATTTTAATTTCTGTGAAGTGGAATAAATAAATTAATAAATAAATACATGTTTAAAGTTAAAGCTTTTGGTCCAACATAAAAATTCTCTCACCTAGAGCTTTCGACCAGTCACTCTGGTCTTCCTCAGTAGACTGACCCAGTGAGGCTTCACGTGGCTTCTTTGAAGTGTGACGTCAACATAATTTTTTGTGTTGGACCAAAAGTTTTAACTTTAAACATATAACTACCAACACAGATGAACTTTCATGATAAAATATTAAATACATGGTTAAGTTCAACTGAACAACACGTAACCTACGAATACCTTGTGAATAAGTGCACAAGCAACAGAGTGTCCACAGTAACTACAGGTACCCTACCTACATAGTTAAGTTACTGAACAACACGTAACCTACGAATACCTAAGTGCAAAAGTAACAGAGTGTCCACAGCAACTACAGGTACCATACATGGTCAAGTTAGGCCACACTGATTTTTAAACATTAATTTCATGGATGACATCTGGGCGCGCATTGATTTTTGCCAGTTAAAGAAAAAAATCACCTCCTGCGAGGCTCTGGCGTGGGTGCCATCTCTGTAGTCCATGGTATCCAGCGACAATTAGTGCTGCATACCGGTTCACTGGACTTGGATCCAGACTTGTAAGAATGTTTAGGTTCAAGTTCAAAAAAACCTAAAAGTCAAGAACCGAGTCCGGACTTATTACCATAAAAGACCATTTCACATACCCCTTTTCTTTCCAAACCACCTAAAACCTTCCGTAGATTGCAAAATCTTTGCTGCAAAATGAAGAAAACATTGCCATCGGGCATCATCCTCCATGTTATGTGGCCAAAGTTTCACCCCGACAACATTGCAAGGTTGTAAACATGCAATTTTTTGTATGCCATGGGCTTAGGTCCGGAGTTACAAGTCCGGACCTGAACCTAAACCTCTGGACTTGAATCCGGACCTGAACCTGAAATTGGGTTTAGGTATGCATCACTAGCGACAATAGGGAGCCGCTGGTAACTATGGAGGGTGGCACACAGGCTGCCAAGGCTCCACGGGACTCAAGAACTCAGTACAGTGCCGACTCATAAATGTACAGTCACATAAACCTACGAAAATAGTTGGGTGCACCAGTGCATATAGCTCCAAATTTTGGTGCACTAAGTTTCACGCACCCAGTATTTCTAACCCTGGTTCTAAATAAACCATCCATTCATTCCTACAGCGGCTACGATGAGACCGTGGACCCGACCATCTCCAACGTGTTCGCCACCGCGGCGTACCGCTTCGGACACAGCCTGGTGGAGAGCGAGTTTGTGCGCTCGACGTCGGGCTACAACCACAACGCACACCCACCAGTGCAGCTGACACACAGCTTCTTCAACCCACAGGTAGGTGGTATAACATCATTCTGTTGTATTATGCTTTTTCCAGGACTGTGTCTGAGCATACTCCACGCATATCCAGAACCGTGCTTTATCCAGATCCAGAACCTTGCTCAGGCATATGCATGGTTCTGGATAGTCCACGCATATCCTAGCCTAGTTACCAAATCTTACTCTCCAAGCGGAGGTTGTGGGGAATGATCGTTACCTTTTTATATATGGTTGTTTTTTGTTGTTGTCCTGACCCCCACCACCCGTCGGTGGCCGGCGACCGTTCTCTGGCTAATGGATACTGCCTGGCCAATCTGACACTGTCGTTTTGCCACCGATAGCGATCTCCTATTATAGCTGCCGAGTCTTACATTTTCTCCTATTTGTGGAGAGGATGTAGGACTCGAGAGCTACAATGTATAATAGATTTGGTAACCAGGCTACGCGTATCCACGGCTGTGCCTGGGGCAAATCTATGTTCTTGAACACAAGGGAATGATCCAGAATGATCCAGAACCTCATTGTGGATGCTCTTTTTGTCATTGACGCTGTTTCTTCACCTCCCCCCCATGCAGCACGTGTACAACAACGTCCGGGGCGGGCTGGACTCCATCGTGCGCGGCCTCGCCAGCACCCCGCACGAGAAGTTTGACCGGTTCATCGTGAGCGGCCTGACCAAGAACCTGTTCGCGGACCCGGCGGGCTCCCTCGGGCTGGACCTGGCGGCGCTGAACATCCAGCGCGGCCGTGACCACGGGCTGCCGGGGTACAACGATTGGAGGGTGCTCTGCGGGCTCCCGCGGGCGCGAAGCTTCGCCGATCTCGCCACCGAGATTCCCGACGCCTCCACGAGAGCCAAACTGGCTGATCTCTACAAGTGAGTTGTGTTTCTGTGTAATTCACATTTAGTTCTTAAAGTAATAAGTCAACCGCCCTTCAGCGTAACACACCAGCTTCTGCATCTGTAGAGCCGGTATAACCGCCCTTTGGCGTAACACACCAGCTTCTGTATCTGTATAGCCGGTTTAACCGCCCTTCAGCGTAACACACCAGCTTCTGTATCTGTATAGCCGGTATAACCACCCTTCGGTGTAACACACCAGCTTCTGTATCTGTAGAGCCGGTATAACCGCCCTTTAGCATAACACAACAGCTTCTGTATCTGTATAGCTGGTATAACTGCCCTTCAGCATAACACACCAGCTTCTGTATCTGTATAGCCGGTATGACCGCCCTTCGGTGTAACACAACAGCTTCTGTATCTGTAGAGCTGGTATAACCGCCCTTCAGCGTAACACAACAGCTTCTGTATCTGTATAGCCGGTATAACTGCCCTTTGGCATAACACACCAGCTTCTGTATCTGTATAGCCGGTATAACTGCCCTTCGGCGTAACACACCAGCTTCTGTATCTGTATAGCTGGTATAACCGCCCTTCAGCGTAACACACCAGCTTCTGTATCTGTATAGCTGGTATAGCCGCCCTTTGGCATAACACACCAGCTTCTGTATCTGTATAGCCGCCCTTCGGCTAAACACACCAGCTTTGCAGGCACGCGGCGCGGCGGCAGCTGGCAACCTGTATCCCTGTATCTGTATAGCTGGTATAATCGCTGTCTGAGAACTTATGTTGACGTGTTACCCCCTACAGCCATGTGGATGACATTGACGTGTTCGCGGCCGGCCTGGCCGAGCGGTCCGTCCCGGGCGGTCTCCTGGGCCCGACGTTCGCCTGCCTGGTGGGACGCCAGTTCCGAGAGCTCAGGAAGGGCGACCGCTTCTGGTTCGAGAACCAGGGACAGTTCTCCCAACGTAAGTCATCCCAGTGTTTATTTGTATCGATCAGCTTGTGTTATTGTGCATTGTAATCTCCAAGTCCAAGCAGATCTTTTGGTGTATCTGTATTCTGTATCTGTATAGCCGGTATAACCGCCCTTAAGTGTAACACACCAGCCAGTATAACCGCCCTTCGGCGTAACACACCAGCTTCTGTATCTGTAAAGCCGGTATAACTGCCCTTCGGTGTAACACACCAGCTTCTGTACCTGTATAGCCTGTATAACCGCCCTTCGGTGTAACACACCAGCTTCTGTATCTGTTTAGCCAGTATAAGTTCTTATGTGAAGGTATTAGCATTATACATTTACTTTGCAAATATTACAGTTCTAGTTCATTCATTCCCTCCCTGCAGGCCAGCTAGCAGAGATAAGGAAGGTAACCCTTGCGCGTGTCCTGTGTGACAACACGGACGACACCACGTCGATGCAGCCTCACGTGTTCATTCATTCATTCACCCATTCATTCCTTCCTTCCCTCCCCTCCAGGCCAGCTAGCAGAGATAAGGAAGGTGACATTAGCGCGTGTCCTGTGTGATAACACGGACGACACCACGACGATGCAGCCCCACGTGTTTGAGCTTCCCGGCCCGGGTAACCGCCGCGTCTCCTGCTTCTCCATCCCCCAACCGGACCTCAACGCCTGGCGGGAGTCTTCCACCGTCGTGGGGCAGGTCAGGGACTTCTTCACAGGTCAGTCTGGTATCCTTAACATGCCTGTTTTATACAGAATCTTGCTTTATCCAGAACCTTGCTTTATCCAGAACCATGCTTTATCTAGAACCGTGCTTTATTCAGAACCGTGCTTTATCCAGAATCTTGCTTTATCCAGAACCGTGCTTTATCCATAACCTTGCTTTATCCAGAACCTTGCTTTATCTAGAAACGTGCTTTATCCAGAACCGTGCTTTATCCAGAACCGTGTTTTATCCAGAATCTTGTTTTATCCAGAACCTTGCTTTATCCAGAACCATGCTTTATCTAGAACCGTGCTTTATTCAGAACTGTGCTTTATCCAGAATCTTGCTTTATCCAGAACCATGCTCACTCGCAGTTTGGATTGTCCACACGTATCCAGAACCATGCCTGGGTCAAACTGTGCTGATCCTAAAACTAACCCATTCAGGCATAGAACTAGACAGTTAAGCCCCCCATTTGTACAATGTAGGTAGCTGCCCATGTTCCACTGAGGATTTTCACCAACAGTTTTTCTTATTCCCTGTTTACAGACTACTTTGGAGGCCTTCGAGGCTGAAGGAGGGAAGATGACGTCACCACAAAATGCTGCTATCAACAATAACTACAACCTCCAACCTTCAGGTGGTCACAGAACATGGATTAGGACTGAGATTAGAGACAGGATTAGAAATTGGATTTAAAACCGGATTTAGAACCAAGATTAGAGTGAGGATTTGAAACTGTACTGTATTGAAACCGGATTAAGCCAGGATAGGAACTTGGATTTGAAACTGGATTGGAGCCTGAATTAGAATCAAAATTACAACTTTTGTACATTTTTGGGACTCTAATGCTAATTTTGTCCAGGACTGTACATGTGTATCTCATAGATACATAATGTTCTGATCCACACTGATAGTTTGTTGCTAAACTTTGTAGATATTATTACATTCTTATACAACATTTACTACAATTTAGAACATTCCACTTCCACTGTAAAATCAATGTGTTTCTTTTACTAAAATACAAACTTTGTACAAGCGCCATGGAGTTGAAGCCATAAGTTTAGATGAAGAAAGCCTGATATTTTAAAGCATGAAAAGTTTGTAATTACGAACCCAAAACTGTCCTTTTGTATCCAGAACGTTGCCTATTGAGTTCTATGTCTGCATGGGTTAGGATCAGGCACGGTTCTGGATAGCCTCTGCGTATCCAAAACATAGATTTGCCCCAGGCACGGTTTAGGATACAAATGATAAATGTACAGTATGACGTACTTTGTACTTTCTGGCAATATTTTGTACGTCTGGCCAAATAACTTACTTTACCTTGCTTCTTTGTTTATGTTTTTGTTTTCTTTGGCCTGGAGCCTGTTGTAAACAAATAAGAAATTTAGACATAAAAGATTTTAGAACATGACCGATTTTTTTCCTTATTGACTCTACTACTCGGGTTGCTACTGTAACAGAAAAGTCTGGTAATGAAAAATAATAATCAATTCAACAATCAATGATTGCTAAACCAGTTATCCTACGACAAATCTTGAACTGTTGCAGTGGATTTGTTTTTTTGGTGATCTCTCCACTGCAAAATAATGCAGAAATAAATATTATTATAAATAGATTAGTGAACAAACAATGACAAAAAAGGAGTTCGTTGGATACATTTATTTTACGTAACACGGAACAAAATAACACGACAACAAACATCTAAATCATCCATGAAGTAACTGTTTAAATTACATTGATTTAAATTTCAATTTGATTTTGACAGGATTGCACCTTAGTTTACTCTTGAAGAAAAGAATGACCGATTTTTCCCTCTTGCTTATTACATGAAGACAATACACAACAAACAACGTATGACTAAATTGCTGTATAATACAGTTGAAAGTGATTTTAGCCTCACTAGATACTGTAATACACGTCATGTAGTAGACAATTTACGTTACATATACGAAAATTAGACATGAGTAGAATGGAGGCCTCCCATTGGACGAACCAGTCGCAGCCGCACATGCTCACAAGGGTCCATACCCAGCATTCATCAGTGCATTCTCCTACAGAGAAACATGAAAAAAAAGGAAACAAAAAAAATATATTTTAAGAATGTATGCAGACATACATACACACGCAGACATACATACACACACATACATGTACTCAGTGATACACTTAACTTTTAAGTTCTAACTTATCAAGCTCCTTTGAAAGATTGTAACCCCTATGAGATACTAAGCTGTGCAACCAAGGTCGCATTGTTAAGGTCATGCAGTCAAGGTCATGCTACAAGCTATAAGAAGACATGGTGTACACATGAGTAGCAGCAGCCAAACACAAAGAGCAAATGAGCAAAAATTGTGTCTGCAGCTTCCTTTAGTAGCTTATATGTCATGCCACTGAACTGAACGGCATGTGACATGTAACTGGCCATGGAGGTTCTAGGCTGTGCCTGATAATCTCCAAAGCAAAAATCTTAACCAGACAAAACAGGCACAGAGATGTAACAGCCAAAGCCACCATTGCCATGCCTTATATGGTCTTGTGTGTTCCATTGAGGTCCTACCTGGCTATGGTACAAGGTCAGTCTGTCAGCAGGGGGGGAGGGGGGTCAAGTCACAAATTAGTACGTACACACTCAGGTATTACTTAACAAGTTGTTGGATGTATTGGAACATTTTATGCATGTTTCTCAAAGACATTCAGTGTGCTTTGCTCAGACAATGCTGCTTTGCTGACAATGCCGTCTTCCAAGATACACGTAGACTTGCTTTACTCATCTGTGTGTCACTGCTCCATAAGCACCATTTTAACTTTGAAGGTGAGTGACTTCCTATTTTCTTGATTCTTGGATTAAAAAAGTACTAAACTAGACAATGTAATTTAAAACAAACCTTGGAACATGGCTTGAATTATGACAGGAAATTTGCAAACGTGAATGAAAGTTTTCTTCTCTGCTCTGTTTTATCAACTTTTTGTGTGACTTGTTTGCTATGACACTAGGATAGGCCACCAGCTTGCTTGTACATTTGCATTTGAAGAACAGTGTCCCAATGATGGCATTATGTACCTTTGTCCTTTCTTCTTATTGCTTTGTTTTAATGTTTCCTTTTATGTGTGAGGAGAGGGCTGACATAAGTTTCATAACTTTTTGCCCAATCCTCGAAAAATAAAATTGTGAATAAAATATTAAATGAAATGATGGCAGCCCAAAATTGGGACATTACCTAACCAGCATAAAAATGTAATTTTCAATGGTTTAAAATTGTTATATAGTAACTAACATAAAACAGAAACAAACAGAACTGACCATGAGGTTGTAGAAGGTTTCTCCCATGGCCTCGTCATAGAAACCCTCCTCCCTCTGGTACACCTCACTACTGGTACCCTGCTTCTGTAACTGTGGTAGAAAGGGTGTAGGTTAGCAAACTGAAATATGCTTCAAGTTATACATGCAGTTCTGTACACAAACACACACACATAGACATGCAAGATACACATGTGCAAACAAACACACACACACATACAAAGCACACTCATGTACATACAATACATGTACAGAAATGCAAACAGACACATGCATATAATATGTACCTTTTGCAACAAAAAAAAAAGTTGTTAGACAGGCCCTATGTGTAGATATTTGGTATGTATTGTATTGGTTGATATGGGCCTGTTTTGTGTGGTACCTTTTTGTCGAGTGACTGCAGAACCAGTTGAGACAGAGGTTTGCTCTTCACTCCTCCCATCGTCTTCTTAAACTTACTGACGTTGTCAATCTTCAACAGCTCATCTCGGATCTGGGGGGATAGAACCAACATGGAGGTGTTGTCATGGCAACCATGGAGGTGTTGTCATGGCAACCATGGAGGTGTTGTCATGGTAACCGTGGAGGTGTTGTCATGACAACCATGGGGTGTTGTCATGGCAACCATGAGATATCATGGCGACCGTGAAGGATGTTGTCATGGCAACCATGGAGGTGTTGTCATGGCAACCATGGAGGTGTTGTCATGGCAACCATGGAGGTGTTGTCAAGGCAACCATGAAGGATGGTGTCATGGCAACAATGAAGGAAATTGTCAATAAAAAAATGGCAACTATGAAGGAAATAGTCATGGCAACCATGAAGGATGTTGTCATGGCAACTATGAAGGAAGTTGTCATGGAAACTGGAGGATTTTGTCATGGCAACTACAAAACATTCCCCTCCTCCAAAACTCCAGTGTTTTTTAATCTTGAAGGAATCAGGATATATATGTATGCTGTACATCATATTAACATTGAATTTCCCTTCCAATGTCTAGTTCCTTTGATTGTTCTCCCTTTAGCTGTTAAACGTCCGAGGCTGACTTACAGGGATGGGGATGCACTCCTCAGGGTTGTAGTGAGCGTCGTACACCTTCACCACCAGCGAGGAGTACTCCTTACACAGTCTGTCACTGCCTGTGTTCAGGGCTTCTTTCATACTCAACTCTACAGACTTCACAGCTATGTTGGTCAGAAACTCCTGCAGGAGACAAAACAGTGAGTGAGTGTTGTACACCAGTGTAGAGTACTCCTTACACAGCCTGTCACTGCCTGTGTTCAACTCTACAGACTTCACAGCAATGTTGGTCAGAAACTCCTACAGGAGACAAAACAGTGAGTGAGTGTTGTACACCAGTGTAGAGTACTCCTTACACAGCCTGTCACTGCCTGTGTTCAGGGCTTCCTTCATACTCAACTCTACTGACTTCACAGCAATGTTGGTCAGAAACTCCTACAGGAGACAAAACAGTGAGTGAGTGTTGTACACCAGTGTAGAGTACTCCTTACACAGTCTGTCACTGCCTGTGTTCAGGGCTTCCTTCATACTCAACTCTACTGACTTCACAGCTATGTTGGTCAGAAACTCCTACAGGAGACAAAACAGTGAGTGAGTGTTGTACACCAGTGTAGAGTACTCCTTACACAGCCTGTCACTGCCTGTGTTCAGGGCTTCCTTCATACTCAACTCTACAGACTTCACAGCAATGTTGGTCAGAAACTCCTGCAGAAAGAAATTTTAGAAATCAGCATGAAAAAATAATGAAAACAGCACCACGACAGACCAACCGTCCTAATCTGATTCACTGTAATGTTCATCAGAAACTCCAGGACCTGCAGGGACAAAACAGCATGGAAACACCACAAGAACACTTCAATTAACAAATGCTTGTCAAAAATTCCTGTAGGAGACAAATCAGCACAAGAATACAACAACTGACATTTGTCAGTAACCTCCTGTGAGCTAGAGACAAAACAGCATGGAAACTGCACAATGGTCCTACAACCAAAAACAAATTCCAAGGAACTCACCAAGGAGGAAGTATTAAATGGTCTTACAACTCTCCACAAGGTAAGAAAACCTTGCAGTTACAATGTAAAACCCTTGACTTAAAGTCTATGGAGCAAGGTTAGAATCCTAAGTATACAACACGACAGTGAAAATTCAAATTTGAATTATTCAGTAAAATAAACATGCACTACTCACAGTACTGGGCATCCCCATAAACAGTGGAACGTTGTGGACGCCTGCCATCACACATCCCCTGTGGAAAATACACAGCTCACAGTTCACACAACTCAGACATGTTACAGCTGCATACAACACAGGGGTACAACCCTAGGTTACAACACCCACATGTTACAACACCCTTCTTACAACCCCATCCCCATAGTATGTTCTCTGACAAGTTAACAAGTGGGTTCCAACAATAGACCCATTCGACTTTCAAAGGAGGGACATTTCGAAAGAACGTTGTTCTAGAACGCTGAAGTCCAACGCGGCTTGCGCTCCTGGTGTCCCCCCTGGCAGATCATTTTTTTACTAAAAGGTAAGTAAGTGTCATTTTTTTTGGTAATATGTGCGGAAATGACAGGAAAACAGGCACCAACTTTGTATGGTGGCATTCTGTACAACAATTTAAGGTTATTTTGTTCTGTGACGTATGCAGTTTATGCGATCCGTGAAAGGAATTTTCGAAATGTCCCCCCTGTGACGTAGTTTCTATTCGAAATGTCCCCACCCCCGTGACATAAGCAGTTAATGCGATCCGTGAAAGTCGAATGGGTCTATTGCAACCCTGAACCTGTGTTGGAAGAAAGGGGCATTGGAACATAGGGGTGTTGAATATAGGGGTGTCCCTGCAAAAAGCATTTATTCTTAAACTTCTTTTTTCAATGGTTTTTCCTGTGGGTTACCTGATCGTATATCTTCAAGGGAGGGAGTATGCACGAAGAACAACAAGAAGAAGTAGATGCACTTGTTAGTAAGGATTTCTTGTTCTAATGTCATTATTTGTCAATGAGTCAGAATGTATAAAGCACAGAAAATGGGAATTGCAAAATACATTTTGGGGCATTGAAAAAGTACCATGAATTTGTACATGTTGGGCCATGCCAATTCAATTTCTTGGTTCTCAAACATTCTTAAGTAAAACTTCAGGACAATGTGGAAATACTGAATGCATGTTTAATCTGAGAAGAAACAAACTGAATTGGCATGGCAAGCAATCTATTGCTCCCAAATGCAGAATGTTTTTTTCGAAGGCATCACTTCGTCACTCACCTGTCAAAAAGTGGTCCAGTCAAAATAAGAGTTAGTCATTAGAATAATAAAATTTCCATCATTTAGTCAAGACAGTGATTAACCAGTCAATCAGTCAATCTAATCAATAAAGCAATAAATTAACAAATCAATAAATTCGTCAATACCAGGACTGGCCTGTTGGCACAGTGGTACAGCCGCCCATCCCCGCTGTGACTTGTTTACCTGGACCTCTGATCAATCAATAACTAATCAATCAATAACTAATCAATAATTGATCGATCAATACCTCTGCACGGCCGTCCAGCCCAGCTGTGACTCGGTGGTGAGTCGGACCTCCAATAAACCCAATCAATCAATCTATCTATCAATAACTAACCAATCAATAACTGATCAATAATCGATAAATCAATAATCAATACTGACCTGTCAAACAGCGGCACGGCCGTCCAGCCGAGTTGTGACTCGGTGGTGAGCCGTACGTCCTGTCCGCATTTCCCGGTGACAGTTCCTGGCTATCTATCAATAACTAACCAATCAATAATAACTAATCAATAATAACTAATCAATAATCAGTACTGACCTGTCAAACAGCGGCACGGCCGTCCAGCCCAGCTGAGACTCGGTGGTGAGCCGTACGTCCTGTCCCCGTTTCCCGGTGACCGTACCCCGCTCGGTGCCATCAGGATGAGGCGTGTACACCGCGTCCAGTCCGAACTAATCCATCAATAACTAATCAATAACCGATCGATCAATACCTGTCGAACAGCGGCACGGCCGTCCAGCCCAGCTGAGACTCGGTGGTGAGCCGTACATCCTGTCCCCGTTTCCCGGTGACCGTACCCCGCTCGGTGCCGTCAGGATGAGGTGTGTACACCGCGTCCAGTCCGAACACCTGGATCAGCAGGCACGTGTTCGGCTCAAGGTGAGGGTGGATGATCTGAGAGGAACATGAAAACAAATTCACTTTTAATTTAGCAATTTTTGCATTTCAAAAAAAAAATTTGATTTTTGCTCACATTTGCTCAACCTGCTGCAAATTCCATCTAAATTGTATCAACTTTGATAATTTAATACTCTTTAATTTGTTATTCATTTGTTTTCTCATTTATTCATGCAACAGAACTTGAGCTTAAATACTGATGATCTGTGTACATGGACATAGTTTTTAGGGTGTGTGTCGTGATGACCTGTTTTGTATCCCCTCCATTGAACTAAATGAAAAAGTTAAGTAAAGTTGAGTTATGGAAGAAGGGTCAAGCCATTTGAGCAACTTCAAATTAACTACTAAACAAAGTTTCATTTATTCCTCCATTTGTTTTTTCATTCATTCCTCCATTTGTTTTTTCATTCATTCATTCATTCATTCATTCATTCATTCATTCATTCATCCAATCAATCAATCATTCATTCCATCCTTCCTGTAACAGAGCCTTACTGAGGGAGGGTCCAGCCACTTTGGTGACTTCTGCAGGCTGGTGAAGTCGTGTTTGGTGGTGATGATCTTATCCTCCCCGCCGTAGCCTTCAGGTGTGTTCTCCAACTCACGTGCCTCCGCTCCAGGTGAGACGCGAGCAAACACGTTCACATACAGGCCCTCACCTGGAGAAACAAACAAACAACAATCAGCCATCGCCTCAAACTAAGAAACTGGTTCACACTGAAAGAAACATCAATTTTTTTCCCTACCTTCATAGCAACAATCAACCTTCAAGGGTAAATGACCCTATACTGTTGACTCCATCTGCCACAGGTGAGATAGGGTTAAAGGTAAAATTTTATGTGCCCCTGCCACTGAGGACGAAAGGTTAAAGATGAAAGATTATGTGACCTATTGTTGACCCCATGTTTCCCCAGATTGGAGTGAAAGGTCAGAGTTGACATGACCCTACTCACTGTTGACCTCAAGTGCCTGTGTGATTAGGGTTAAAGGTCAGAGTTACATGACCCTACCATTGACCCCGTGTGCCTGTGGGATTAGGGTTAAAGGTCAGAGTTACATGACCCTACCATTGCCCCACGTGTCTGTGGGATTGGGGTTAAAGGTCAGAGTTGATGTGACCCTACTGTTGACCCCATGTGCCTGTGGTTAAAGGTCAGAGTTGACATGACCTACCATTGACCCCGTGTGCCTGTGAGATTGGGGTTAAAGGTCAGAGTTGACATGACCTACCGTTGACCCCGTGTGCCTGCTCCACCTGGATGCCGATGCCAGTCTGGATGTGGTACCTGACGGCCCTCAGCAGGTCACTGTGGCTGGCCGGGGTGCGGGGAGGGAGGTGCTTCTTCGCATCCAGCCTGTCTCTGTACCATTGTTCCAGGGCTGCATCAGATTCTATAAAAAAAAACAGTGCAATATTTGAAAGGATGCAGAATAGTTTTACAAGTAAGGAAATATGAGAGTACCAAACAAGCAGGAAGATTTCTATGTTGTATACTGGAAGCCAATATTAACATCTAACCTCACAAAGTACATCGGAAGTCAATATTATAACACTTTTCTGACTTGCCAAAGTGCTCTAGGTACAGCTTTGCGTGACCTATTGAGTGACCTTTGACCCATGTGCCCTGTGTAAAAGTCATGACCTCTGACCTTCCTCAGCGGGGGGCATGCCCTGTGCGATCTGCAGGCGGTGGATGGCCTCCCGTACGGACAGCGGGAACAGCGTGTCGCTCTGGAAGTCCCGCAGGATCCGCATCTCCGACAGGTTAGGTCGGCTCTTCTCCGAGTGGTAGAAACCACTCTTGTACGGGGGCGCAGGGATCATCTCCTGCAGGCAGAAAATGTTTCAAAATATTTCCTAACTTAATAATCACCTTAAAGGATCTGACAGAAAATTAATAAATATTTGAATCCATTATACATTACAAGTTTGTTTGTTTGTTTTGTTTGTTTATTTATTTATCCAGGATATACATGTCGCCTGTATGGCGGTTTTCAAAGATTCCTGGGGGGATAACCCCAACATAAAATTACATTACATAATAATTAAGATAAAAGAAGAACTAACACAGGTCAATTAAAATAGATAAACTCATCGTGAACAAAACGAAAATCGTAGCTAACTCATTATACAACCAAAATGAAACAAGGCAGCATAGAAGCAATCATAATCATTCAGTTATCAAATCATAATGATAGGTCAAAAGGTTTGTCAACCAAAAGTAGATAATTAACCAAAAGTGGAGTTAGCTAATCAAAGTAACGAAATATGATTAATCAAATCAAGTATGCTATAAGAAACCAAAACAATTATCTTTTTAAAGTTTTGAGGGGCAGCTGTTGTATTCAGTGCTCAGGAATGTTTCTGGGTGGTCTACGCATATCCAGATCCGTGCCTGGGACAAATCTACATTTTATTTATTGAATACAACTAGTCTGCCTGATCCTAACCCATTCAGGCACAGAACTAGACAGACACAGTTCTGACTACATCAGAATCCTCACCTCTCCGTGTGGCATGAGCCTGAGGAGAATGGAGGCTCCGGGCACGGGGATGACGTTGTCTAACGACGAGGCTAAAAGCGGCTTCTTGGTGTCTGGCATCCCCCTGCGGAGCCTCAGCTGATGACCTCCGACATTGAACCTGGTCTGAAGGGAGAGGGGGATAACACGAGAAAAAGTTAGACACACGTCAAGTCTAATACTTCTAGGAGCACTTCTGTGTTGGTGAACAACAATGTGACAGTCACAAACTTGCTCTAAAGCAACAAAATACTATAACTTACACGTCCAAGCTGCTTGAAAGTCCATCAATCAATTTCTTAAATGATGATCAATAATTATTAGTCACACATGAGCATATGTTACACATGTTACTATTACAAGCATTTCTATGCTGGTAAACATCATCAGTCACAAACTTGCTCTAAAGCAACAAAATGTTACAGGTCAAAGCTGCTTGAAAGCCTGCACCAATTTTTAAAAGTAGCTAGTGGATTCTACTTCACATGTCTGACCCTGACAGTTTTCAAAATCTTTCCTGTTGCTTGAAGAACTGTTTTCTCGTTATCTTTTGTTCTGGAAGTTTTATAACCTTCATCGATGTACATGTACATGACTGAATCATGACAGGAAGATTAACAACTTTCTCGAGTAACTGTTTTCTTGTGTACCTCATTATCAGGATATCTAACCTTCCTTAACATGTGAATAATATCTCATTACACAAAGCACCAGAGAATATTCATTGACAACATTTCTGAATCAGAATTATGACAGTAAGATTGACACCTGTCCATCTTCCTCCACGAAGAGCGGGAAGAGACAGCTTCCGATCACCAGCAGCGTCTTGGAGTCCTTGTCGACCGTGTAGACACGCAGCAGCACCAAGGCATCATGGGACATCGGCTTCCTGTGTGGTGAGTTAACGCAAATTCAAATTTAGCTCCCAACAATCTAGACTAGTGCTGTGAAGTACTACCTAAACCCAGTTTAAGGTTCAGGTCAGGATTCAAGTCCAGAGGTTAAGGTTCAGGCGCGAACGTATACATGTAATAAGTCTTTTTTATATACCAACATTTCATGAATAGACATGGTGACGGCACACTCAAGATATAGAAACTTATTTTATGCCGCCACCAACGCAGAGGACAAATACAGGACGAGACAATACTCATTTTCACTTGAGTTAAGTGAGGAAAGTTATGTAAAGTGCCTTTCCCAAGGGCGCAAGATCAGTGGCATGTTAGGACTCGAACCCGGGACCTCTTGGTTCTGAGTCGAGTATACTACGGTTACTTTACACAACCCCACAATGATGCTTGAGGATTAGTAAAACAGTGCAGTATTAAGTGTTTATATTCTGCGAGCAGTTTTTACCTGTTGTCAGGGTCAGTGTTGAGCGGGAGTCTGTAGGCGAGCTGCGGGCTCCGAGCCGAGCTGTCCAGCTCCGCAAACGCAGAGATGTCCGGCAGGTTGTCCAGGTTGGACTTCATCACCCGACCCGTCACCTGGTAATGGCAACGACAGATTAGACCCCTTTCCACAGCTTTTGGTATATGCATGTAGGGACAGTGCCCATCTATAGCCCTTGGGCAAAAGAGGACCTCAGTCTATACCTAATATAGATCGAATTGTGCACTTTCAAATAATTGTCAACAGCTATTGGTTTTGGTTTTCAAGTCAAGTCAAGGTTAAGTAAAAAGTGTTTTGAAGGTCAACTGAAGAGTATTTCGAAGTCAAGTCAAAGGCATTTTCAAGGTCAAGTCAAGGGCATTCAATGTAACAATGTAACAAGACTTGGAATGTTTCCCAAAGGTCAAGTACAGGTATATTTGTAAGTCATAGGTTTGAAGGTGACCTTGATGATGGTTGCGTTGTCGGGGATGAACTGGACACGGTCCACGTAGAGGTCGATGCCCTCGGAGTTGTCGGGAACGGGAGGCTGGTCCTCGGCTGTCTCAGGGTTAAAGAACACGAAGGGGTCGGAGTCCACAGTCGGGACCACATCAGCATCACTGGGGGGGGGGAGAGAGAGATGGGGAACATGAGTTAGATGTCCGTCAATAATTTCATCGGGTTGGTCACAACCATTTATTTTTCATGGTACAGGATAAATGTGCACAGTAAACCAGTCAGAATTGCCCTGATGAAGATGACAGATGGTCATCGAAATGTCGGCTCGTAAAAATAAATGGTTGTGATCAAAGAACTGTGCTGTGCTATTCACGAATTAGATGTGCATAGTACATACACGTACAAGTCATGTTAATCAGGGGAAGACATACTCCCAAATCCATACCAACTTTACTGAAGGTAAATGATTATAATATATCTTCAGTCAGTATTGACCATGGCAAAATCCTAATTGTTCAATGGCCCTACAGCTTTGGCTATGACTGAACAGTGCTATACAAGAATGACAGTCTCTGCCATATAGGGCATCTGTAAGGGGACTCAGGTCTGTGGCAGAGTTCTTTTCTCAAGGTCCGCTTCTCTTCTGTGCAGTGCAACTGAACCCCTTTAACCAAGATTCAATGTTTTCTATAGCTAAGAGAGTCTTTATACCTATCTATGGCAGCTGTAACAATAATAAACTGTATTTGATAGATAAACAGTTTGAAAAGCATTATCTTTCATGAGAAAGAAAGGAACTTTGTTGTACCAACTTATAACTACAAACTACTGAGATACAAAATGACTGAACTTAAAATTCTACTCCCTAAACAACAAGGGCTAAGTTGTAAGTAAATTGTTCAGTTACAATCAGTTAGTTGTGGGTTTCAGTTTATTCACATTTCTACTAGCAATCTATTAAGTATGTATTTTAACTACATTTGTATTTGTGCCTTGTGACACTTGTCACATCTATTTATTCAAATCCTGTTGTGGCACCAAGTAATAAAAATATGGTACCTGTTGTCCTCTGGTTCTGGGCTGCTTGTAGGGAAAAAAGTCGACAAGCTAAATTGTAATGTTAGGAAATTACCACAAATGTCCCTTGCACAGGTATGCGAAGAGCTGGCATTTGCATATTTGTGATGACTTACTTTTGCACAACAGGTGGTCGACACATAAAGAGCTGTACACATTTGCATGTTCGTGACACTTAAATGCTCATTACTATTTATCTGCCAGGTCTCCTAGATTGGTGTCATCAGAAAAAAGTACTACATTAACCTGCAGGATTGACAGTAATGTTTACTACAGACTTTGAAGCAGTTGTGCAATGCCATGTTACATTAAAGCAGATGTCTACAGTGACCAGATTTTCGCGGTCCCCTTGAGAGGTCTTCTTGGGCAGATTTGAGTCATTTGACAGTATGACAACTACAGATGCAGCTACAGAGTTTGACACAGGTGTGCATGTTACATTGACAGTGTAGGGGTATTAACAACAGTGCCTTCTTATCTTGAAAGTTCATCTGTGTTGGTAGAAATCGTTATGAAGCAAGTTTAAAGAGCAATTTCCAACACAAGAAATTGGACTCACTCAAATTTTCAACTGTACAACTCCAGTCTTTGTCAAGGAATGAGACAGAGACAGAGACGGGGGGCGCCACAGACTTTCTGCAACCTATGATCCACTGCTCACGGAGTCACGTGTGTTATCTGCATGACATCACGGAAGCGGTGGATTGCTCATTCCTTGACAAAGACTGGAGTTGTACAGTCAAAAATTTGGGTGAGTCCAATTTGTTGTGTTGGAAATTGCAGTTTAAACTTCCTTCAGAACAGAGCCTTCAGTGCAGGTGAGCAACTCTCGAGATCCACATTTAGTGAGTACCTCTCCTGTTGGGAATGGTTAGAGCTTCCAGGCGGTTCAGGAGACTGAGGAGAGGGAGTGACCAGTTCAGACGCGGCGCCATCTTCCTCCTGGGGAGAACCAGCTTCTGGTGACTGCGATGGTTCAGGCTCTGGGTCTGGCGCAAGGACCGGTTCAGGGGTTGGCGTGGGTGCTGGCGTGGGTGCTGGCATGGGTGCTGGCGTGGGTTGGGCTTCTGGCTCTGGCGCTGGTGTGGGTTTTGGGTCCGGTTCAGGGTCTGGTTCTGTCACCACCTCTGGCTCTTGTTCTGGCAGAGGATCTGGATCTGGAGTTGGGGCTGGCTGTGGCTCGTGCACTGGCTCTGGTGTAGGTGTTGGTTCTGGTTTCACTTCTGGCTCAGGAGTTGGTTCTGGCTCTTGTTCTGGCTGTGGTGTTGGTTCTGGTTTGAATTCCGGTTCTGGCGTCGGTTCTGGCTCTTCAGGTGCCTCTGTCCTTTTTTCTAGCTCCGGTGTTGGTTCTGGTTTCAAATCTGGTTCAGGTATTGGATCCGGCTCTTGTACTGGTTCCGGTGTTGGTTTAGGCACGGATGTGTCAGTATTTTCCCTTACATTGATGAAGGAGGCACTTGAGTTAAGATCTCAAAATGATGGCAGCAAAACAACATTCAACATCACCAAGTGCTAGGGTATCATTTATTGTAAGTCACTTTTCAAGGAAAAAAGGTTTCAGTAACTGTATACATTTGGCACAAACCATAACTCAATACCTTAACTATTACTAAAGTTATTTTTTTCAAATACATTTCTTATAATTTCTTGAGTTGAAAAGAGTATAAATCTGCATGTAAAACAGGCCGTAATCTTATACATGTTAAGGTAGCCATTTGGCACAAATTTGTATAGGTTTCCGGGTAAGGTAGCAGGAGGACGGTTAATAATAACCACAGTTTCAGCACTAGGGACAGGGTCATTAACCTTCAGCCTGCTAAGGCAGCCGTTTGGTACCAAACTTGTATTTTGGTTATAGGGTTAGGCAGCAAGTAGAAGGTCAACAACCACCACAGTTTCAGTGCTAGGGACAGGGCCATTAACCTTCAGCCTGCTAAGGTAGCTGTTTGGCACCAATCTTGTATTGGTTACAGGGTAAGCTACATTGTAGCAGGGGGAAGGTTAATGTCCTAAACGAATGAAAACAGGCAGTCAAAATTTTTCCGAAGTCTTGGTTTGAATATTCACCTGTCTTCTGGCAACTCCTCCACTTGGAAGCTTGTGGTTAATCACAATGCAGAAAGTTCAAATTCAAGTACAAGTTCAGACAGAATTTTTCAAACAAAGGTTCAAACAAACAAATTACAATGATCAGTACAAATAAAAAAGTCACCTTATTTTTGGGGTTTCCTCCACTTCTGGGATGCTTGGGGTTATCAATAACAAGAATTCAAATTCAAGTTCGACAACTATAATACAGGGACCTTTGCTGTGGTCATAATTTCTGGGTTAGATGCCCCAAAATGTGTTTTAAAAAAATCTTAACGGCTCTCAGTGGCCAATGTGCAGATGTTGTCACATCGGCGCACCAAATCCGTAGTGTGTTTTTGGTACACATTTGACAGATTAGCCTAAGAGGCTCGGTGGGCGTCACTCCACTGTACATGGTGGGGAAGTCGTGTAATAAAGTGCCTTTCCCAAGGGCACAACGTCGGGCCACGGTGAGTACAGAACCCGGGACCTCTCAGTTCCGAGTCCAACGCTCTAATCGTTGCCACATGTGTTTCATACCCTGTATTATGTTGTAGAACTTGAATTTGCTGCACAAGTACAGTGACCATCTAACAGAACATTTAGAAAAACCTCATCACAAACCTTACATTAGTGCTATGTATTGGTTCACTAGACTTGGATCCAGACTTGTAAGAATGTTTAGGTTCAAGTCCAAAAGAAATCTAAAAGTCAAGAACCGACTCCGGACTTATTAACCCCCCAAAAAACATTTCACATACCCCTTTTCTTTCCAAACCACCTAAAACCTTCGGAAGTTCCATAGATTGCAAAATCTTTGCTGCAAAATGTAGAAAACATTGCTATTGGGCATCTTCAAGTGTCGGCCTCCATGTTATGTGGCCAAAGTTTTGCCCAGACAACATTGCAAGGTTGCCAACATGCAATTTTGTATATGCCATGGGTTTAGGTCCGGACTTACAAGTCCGGAACTGAACCTAAACCTCTGGACTTGAATCCGGACCTGAACCTAAATGTGGGTTTAGGTACACAGCACTACCTTATATGCATGCAATGTGCCTGGCACAGTTTTCAAGCTATACAAAAATCAGATAAAATCATGGTCACCTTATTTGTGGGGTCTCCTCCAACTCTGGTATGCTTGTAATTATTAACAACACGAAGTAGAAACACGTTCAACATACTTGTTATTATAGTACTATAGCACATGGTTGTTTGTGGGATATTAATAAGTGACATGGAAAACATTAATTTTGAATAAGAGCTCATCTGTGTACTAGTAGAATTCATCCTCTTCTTCTACAATTTTCAGTCCTTGGGCTAAATTTGTATCAATTTATTTGTCAGTACCATAATCAGGTGTGTCAGTTAAGTCATGTCTAAAGATACAAAAAATGTACTTCAGTCACTTGGGATAAACTCGTATCACTTATTTGTCAGTAACACAGTCAGGTTTGTCAGTAAAGTCATACGTGTCGCAGGGCTCTAGCCACCTCAAAATCTTTTCCGTCAGCCCAGGTTCATGATTGGACCGGGGTGAAGAGTGCTCGCAATCTAGTGGGAGGTCTGGGAACAAATTTTGGATTTTCAACCCTTTAAAAATGCAATTCCAACATATTGTGAGGCAAATTACAGGGTTGAGAGTAGTTGTTGGTGGTCCTTTGGATGTTTTCATACTTTTACTCAAGATTTTTGTCAACTTTGTCCATCAAGGTTGACGGATAATGGTCTAAAAATTTTTCCATCACAGGCCACAAAGTTCCTGAAATTGACAGAAAAACTGGTGCTGGCTAGAGCCCTGTATCGGAACGGGGGAGGGAGAGCTTGTCTTCTGTCCTGTAAAACCCGAGTGTGACCCTCCCGCCGCCCCGAACCCGTACTGTTTCTGTCCTGTTGTCGTGCTGTTCTGTCAGGTCGCTTGTCTGGAGCCACTTGTCACTGTCACACAGGTCTGTCAGTGTCACCCTGCTGTCACGTGTCATGTCCTTGTCACGTGTCATGTCGTTGTCAGGCTTACGCAGCCGTAACAGTGGCTGTCTGAGCACGTGAATCATTCTGTATAAAGGGTACAACAGTGTGTCAGTCAACGAAGAATAGACAAAAGGCAGATAAAGGTACATGTAGTGCAAGAGCCTTTTGAGGCTGTTAAGGCAGTGGGTTGTTAAACACAGGGTGTCCATCAGCAAAGGTACAAATGTAAGACAAAGGGTAAAGGTAAAGGTAGTCCCGTAGGCTTTTATAGGCCGTAGGGGCAGTGCCAGTGGGTTGTTAAACACAGGGTGTCCATCAACAAAGGTAAGACAAAAGGTAAAGGTAAACTAAGGTAGTCGCAGAGCCTATTTCAGGCTGTAGGGGCAGTGGGTTATTAAACAAAGGGTGTCCATCAACAAAGGTAAGACAAAGGATAAAGGTACATGTAGTCCAAGAGCCTTTTTGAGGCTGTAGAGGCAGTGGGTTGTTAAACACAGGGTGTCAGTCAACGAAGGTTAGACAAAAGGTAAGGGTCAAGGTAGTCCCAGAGCATTTTTCAGTTTTTCAGACTGTAGAGGCAGTGGGTTGTTAAACACAGGGTGTCCATCAACAAAGGTACAAATGTAAGACAAAGGGTAAAGGTAAAGGTAGTCCCGTAGGCTTTTATAGGCCGTAGGGGCAGTGGGTTGTTGATCCACTGTGTCTAGGGCACAGTACTGGAAGGCAGAGCCCATCCCTCTCTTTTTACCTCCCCGACCGAAGTCAGGTACCCATTTTACACCTGGGTGGAGTGAGGAAAGGACACAATGTCTAGCCAGAAGTTTCAAACAGTATCTGCTACTTTTTTTTGTCAGATAACTGTCATCACAAAACCAGCTAGTTGAGACTTTGTAAGAGATCTTATATTTATCTAGTTGTTTATTGTCTTCGTCAGAAGGACTATGAAATTGTCTCGCCGGAGTGTGGGGAACTGCGGATTTTGCGTTATAACTCTGGAAGGCATGATTCAACGTCCATGATTTTTTGCAGGCAGATTACCGCTGTTGAGGCCAAAGTCAAGTACAAGTTTCGGCTTCGTGGGGGGTCCGTGCGTCACGTTAGTGCACCTTTTGTGTTTGTGGCTTGTTAGCAAGATAACTCAAGTATTTGTAAAATGTTGATTATAATTCTTGGTGTGGTGCTTACTATTGTCGGGACCAAGGTTAAGTTCGTTACTGAGCTTCGTGGGGGGTTTCGTTGTGACTACAGGGGGCATTTTGTTAATTTTTCTTGTGAGCAGGATAACTTTTGTATGTGTGGATGGAAGTTAATGAAATTTGGTAGGCATGTTACTGTGGTGGTCTCCAAGATTGAGTTCAAAGATGAGAGTCGTGGAGGTCATTATGTCCCCGTAATAGGACCTTTTGTGTTTAGAAATCCCCCACCTACATCTGCTTGGAGACAGCCGACAGCTGGATATAGCTGGGGAACCCCCTAATGGGATGGGATCAAATGACCTTACATTGAGGGATTGTACTATAACTTCAGCAGGGGGAGGATAGGTTGGACATATGTCAGGTTATTTTCTACGGCCACACCAAGTAATTGCTATGGATGACGTCCACTGGAGACCTTAAATCTAATTACCTTAAATTTAAGGCAAGCGCGCAGTAAAAACACGAAGGGCCGAAAAATGAGATGCCTAGATTTGGAATATGCCTAGGCATGAGATGCCTAGATTTGGAAACTAACTGTAGAAGTACAAATGTTAGGACACAAAGAACACAAGTCTTCTATTTGTCATAAAGACAAATTAACAAAACAGCAGCCAGTAGTCACCCTGTTCTGATTCTTTCCTTTATAACATCTTCTCTTACCATATTTTGCGGCACTGTCGTGACACTTTCAACACAGTAAGAATTTCTTGAACGTTTTTTTTTTCCAGTAACAGTCCAAACTCAAATAATGTAGGGGGGGGGGGCTAACACTGGTGACGACGCATCTGTATAATCTGCGGCAAACCGTTTCAGGGTGTTCTGTACCATAAAAATAGTACAGAGATTCTTTTGTTCTTTAGACCAAATTGATTATTAAAAAGATTGAAGAATACGCATGTTAATTTCTCTAGAACGATGTACCTCTGACGAAGACATGAGATTTCCGACCTCTAGTTCTGTATGTATATGGTGTCAGTCATTGTCACCTGTCATGTCTGTCATATACATTGTATGTCACTGTCAAGATTGAGTTTTGTGAACTTGACCATGGAACAGGTGTTCCCAGGTGACCTCACCTTGCCAGCAGCGGTAGAACATGAACAGGTGTGGGGACAGGTGGGGTGGGCGGCAGTCTTCCCAAGGACGCAACGTTAAAATGATACACATCGTTACATAACCTCAAATACATGACATTGTAAAAGCAGAAGCAACACTCGTACTGTCATGTCCCTTTTTTTTAAACCGAATTTAACGTCATTTTTCCCCAACCGGGGGTTAGACGTGCTTGCACCAAGTACAAGTCTTTTTTTGAAGCAGAATTTTTACGGCTGGATGCTCTTCCTAACGCCAACCCAAACCCTAGTAGGGCCTGGGATCCCTCTAACTAAGGGATGTCCCTGGTATACATAATAATCAATATCAACGATACTATAGGTGAAATAATGAAAAATTTGATGAGTACAGCATCATAAAAGATGAATAATAAACACCATAGAATCTAAAATTTCTGTCATGATGTTCATGTTTACCACTAACCCAACATTTCCCAGATACCTTACTTATTGGGTTAGAGTGCCCTTGTAAAGGCATTATCTTAATAGAAATGATTCTTTTCAAAATTAGGTATCAAATGTTAATTATACATGTAGCAGGACCACAATGCCACAGTGGTTAGGACCAGTGTTCTAGCTACAATGTAGCATAGTTTGAGCACAGACTACCTGAGCCTTGTCTGCCTTGACTATCTGGTAAATACTGTAAATCGTGGTACTTTGTGGTACTTTAGATTTACATTCGCGGTTTTTGCGGTCACTTCTGTCAAACCAGCAAACTTACCATTACCTTAAAAAAATAACTCGCAGACTCTGCAAACTTGCACCTGTAGCCACCGCGAACGTATAGTTCTGCGAACATGGCAACCATTTTTCTCAGACCACAAACTTTTGCTACCACGAACTTAATTTACAGTTACTGTACTGTTACTGTATGTATAAAGCGACAAATTCTCGGTCATATCAGATTTCAAGGAGACTAAGAAGCAGGTGAGATTGATTGTGACCTGTGTTCTACTAACTTCTAGCTAAATGAAAATGTGAGATGGAGTTACCTTTCCTCCTCTGCATCGCTGTCCTCCCCCTTCTGGTCAGCGCTGGGGTCGAACACGGTCGCATACAGCATGGAACCCTCCCGCACCACATCTGGGGGGGAATAGCAGTCATTATTTATTGTTGCCTAGGGGATGTCGTAACTGCATTTTTGTCATGCTTGAGCTGTGATAACGTTCGATATGGGAGTTCCAGCCTGTGTGATAACTAGCAGTACAGCCCGGGGTGTATTCTGCATTTAATATGAACACTTATCTATGTTCAAAAATAGACTTAACAAGTACATTAATTTTGTATATGCAATGCCACTAGTAAATGACTACAAGGTTTTTTGATTGTGTGCACAAATTTAAGAAAAAAACAAACAAAAACAAAGCAGAGTTGGGGAAATTGGTTTCACGTGGAGAAGGAAAACAATATACATGTAATTTCATATTTCAATAAAATGCTAAAAAAACATTGTAACAAAGCACAGTTAGGGTGTCAGCCTTTTTAGCAGATCGTGGGGGAGCAGACAAAAGCTAAACTAGGAAAATTGGTGTAATGTGTTTAACAGAAAGGAAATGATTTCATAAATTTCAATAATTTTACTGATGTCATGAAACATTAGCCTCTACCAGGCTCCGCGGATCGCTGGAAAAATAGTACAAATGGGCCGAAATAAAGGGATAGTATACCAGAGAAGATCCAGCCGGCCATAGAAGCTCCAATTTGCGACCCACGGAGCCTGTGCGGAGTCGCAAGCTTCAAACGATATAAAATTAATCCCCCTATTATTCGTAAAAAGAAACTTGATCAGCGCTGAAGATCATTCAAGTCATAAACCCGCCAGCGCCCAGCGGGAACTCAGCCGGGTGTGTCCTTCGCCACACGGCGAACTCGTTCCCGGACTGCCATCGGCAGCAGACAGAAATCCGCACAGATAACTTTGAGTTAGGACAGATGACTGTTTATATAACTGTTTATCTTACAAGTAGAACAAAAAGCTGCCACAAAAAGTACGCCTGTGGACAAAGAATAACACAGAAAACTACGATAGAGGATTGTCATGATTGTTATAACCTCCAAAATACGGAAAGGGCCACAGAACGTCAGGAAAGTTCGCCAGTACAAGTCAGAGGGCAAAAAATGCGTCAGGAAAAAGACGAGACAAGACCGTTATAACTTCAAAACTTCGTGACCTCTGAGACTTCCTGTCACATGGCCGCTCGTGTCAGGTCCGTCACGGACGAGTCGGAGAGCAATAAAAGGGGTACTTAACCACTTTGCACCTATTAGATAGCGATTAGTGAACTTCAAAGAAGCTTGCGACTCCGCACAGGCTCCGTGGGTCGCAAATTGGAGCTTCTATGGCCGGCTGCATCTTCTCTGGTATACTATTCCCTTTATTTCGGCCCATTTCTACTATTTTTCCAGCGATCCGCGGAGCCTGGAAGAGGCTAATGAAACATGACCTGACCTTTATCAGTGAACGACCTTGGCACCTTGCCGACGGCAGTCTCGGGGACGTTGCCGGGGACGACTGTGATGGTCTGTTCGCCCTCGATGACGTCCCAGTGCGGCCGCGCGCCCCTCATGGGGGGTCCCCCCTCCCCCGCAGCATCCTGGGATAGCTCCTGCCGGTACACCGGGATCTTCACCCAGCCCAGGTTCACGGGGACCGAGGCTGGAACAAAGGTCAAGGTCACGGTCATGGTCAAGGTGAAACAGAAACAGGTGATGGTCAGCAGTAAGAGGTCAAGATGAAGGTCATTGTCAACACAACCAGGTCAAAGATCTAGGACTATCAGCATGGTGACATGACCAAGGAGAATAAGATCACTTATTTTGAGGAAGGTCAGTATGATACATTTTGATTTGATTTATTGAAATTGTAACAATACAATTATACACTTGGGACACATGCAGCTGTTGCTGGTATTGTGTCCCACACATAGAAACAAATGGACAGGACAATACTCATTTTCACTTGAGTTAAGTGAGGAAAGTCGTGTAATGTGCCTTTCCCAAGGGCACAAGATTGGTGGCATGTCAGGACTCGAACCCGGGACTTCTTGATTCCGAGTCAAGCACTCTGCCGTTATGCCACACGACCCCACTTGTGTGGGAACTAAAGTATAAACTCTGTTTCTACCAAGGTAGAGAAAGAAAACGAACCTTTGTCGTCCTCCCCCTTGCCCCTGTAGCTAGCCCTGACGATGGCGTACGGCTGACTGTCCGGCCCGAAGTCCACTCCGTGGAACTGTGAAGGGTCCAGGTTGTTGAAGACCAGATCCTCCTTAAACTCGATGGAGTAGGTGTCCACATACTCGCCCAGGTTGGACTGCAGGTTCTGTTTCTTGTCTTTAAGACGGGGTTCGGTGACGGTGGACTTGGAGCGCAGCTTGATGTCGCCGAAGTAGACGGAAGCAGTCAGACGGACATTCTTGTGGTCAAAATGAGCAACCCAGTCCTCCTGGGGGAAGAGAAAAAAAATAAAATTTTCTCCAGGAACAAAGCAAATTTACAAAACGTGGCATTGCATGGCCTAATGGTCAGAACCAAGAGGTCCAGGGTTTGATTTCCTCACTCTCACTCACTCTCACTGTCCGGTTTATCGTCTGTTGTTCCCCGTCTTCCAAGGGTTAGACGTGCTTGCACAATACTTCTGGGGCTTGATGGCAGTACGCCACTTGTCTCTGTCCTGTGGGTTGATTTTATCTTTACCTGACAAGCCCAATGCTGTGTCCTTGGAAGGGGCTATCCTCCCAGTTCAGGGCCTTTCGGATAATCTGTTTTATGGGTTTCCTAACATTGATGATCTTGTCAATGAGGACACTCATGGATTTGCAAGAATTGCAAATTTGCTACTAAGAATTTTTTCAAACAAACAAAATTAAAAAACTGCCTGGACACTTTTCTCTTGGAAGAATATAATACAATGTCATGTATATATATATAAAGACTCATCACAAAAGCAAGCTATCATAAAAGCAAGCTACGTGTACAGGCTAAGTCTTTCACTATGAAAGTAGTTGAAGTGGATGTAAATAGTAGTTTGTTTGTTAATAATGTAATGTTTGTATTTTATAATGACATTGTGTATAATAGAACTCCAGGAAGAGTAGTGGTGTATTATCACTAATAATTATTGGAGATTCCTTAAATAAAAAAACAAACAAACACTTGGCAGCCCCAGACATCTTGAAAGGTCTCCTTTAAGAAGTTCTCACCTCTCCTTCCGACGCCCCGTCCCCGGGCCGTTGTCTCAGCAGGATCAGCTTGACCTTGAAGTTCCTGAGTCCGACCGGCCCCAGCTCGTCAGGCTCAAGGTCAAACCTGGGGGAGGGGGAGGGTTCCGGCCTGGTGCGGAGGGGGGACTGTGCAGGTATGGCCGTGCTGGGGGGGTGGAGAGAAAGGGAAGTTAAAGAATTATGATCATGAAACGTCGATGAAGGTCAGACATCCAGGTAATAAGATACACCAAAAAGCAGTTACTCAAGCAACTGGATATGATTTTGGAAACGGTTAAACGTTTCAGCTAGTATCCACTAGCTTTCGTCAGTGACAATAAGAGACCAGGGGAGAAATACAGGTTTATAAGCACAAACTATTGATTGATATGCAAATAAAGTGAAGACAAATTTTTGGTAGGTAGGGATTATCTTTTCCTTTTCCTTCTTTTTTTATTAGACTTTGACATTCTCTAGTGATGCAACTTGTGATCTAACAAATATACAATACAGTTTAACAAAGTAAAACTTGCATGAGGACACTTATATTTTCAATGTCAATGTTAGAAAACCTTTTTATCACTCAGGTGTCAGATCATAGTCGATCAGCTTGAAAAATTTATGACCCTTGCAGGGGTCCACCCCCCCAAAAAAATCTAGGTTGGCACTTTTTTCTAGAGTTACCCTCCCAGTAGTACATACATTCTGCAGACGTACGTACACTTGCTTTAACTGTTCTCCAACTCAAAATTTGACTCACCAGAAATTTTCGACTGAATCACTCAGTCTTCCTCAGCTATCTGACCCAAATGCTGTGGACACGTGATTTTTCCCACGTGTGACGTCAGCCAAGTGGTGAGTCAAATTTTGAGTTGGAGAACAGTTCAAGTTTTTCATAATGTAATTTACCAACTCAGATGAACTTTCATGCTGTTGCTTTAGTGTTCCTGTAGCCTTACCTGGGGCGCCTCCTGTTGAGAGTTGGGAGATCTGCAGGCAGCCCGCCCTGCTGAAGGTGCATCCATCCCCGCTGTATGTCTGCTGTGTACAGGCGACAGGGCTCTAGGAGGAGTACCTGAAAACAACAGAAAATTCAAGAAAATCCTAAACTACCAGACTGAGCTTTTGGTTAAATCTGTAGTTTTCACTGTCTGACGTATGCTCGTACATTGTATAAAAGGTAAACACAGCCCCATAGCCTTTTCTGATCATAGGGTCAGTGAGTTGTTGATCCAAATGTGTCTAGGGCATGGTATTGAAAGGTGGAACCCATCCCTCTCCTTCCACTGCCTTTTAACTCCCCAACCAAAAAGTCAGGTACCCATTTTACACCTGGGTGGAGTGAGGAAAGTTGTGTAAAATGCTTATCCCAAGGACAAAATGTCTGGTCATGGATTGAACCATTTAAATGTCCACTTTATGTATAGAATGTACCATAACCATTTCAGCCTACCCCTTTCATAGTGTGGTAGTCCGTAGCCTGGAGCAGCAGGTCCCTTAGGAGCAGCAGGATCACCAGGCAGAAGTCCTCCAACACTTTGTGCTTCCAGTCTGTCATGAAGGCCTGATCCCAGACTAACAGCACAGCCTGGGCATCCAGTACACTCACAAAGCCCTGCAACATTCAAACATATGCTCACAAAAACCTCGCCTAGAGGGCCTGGTCCCAGACTAGCCTGGGCATCCAGTACACTCACAAAGCCCTGCAACATGCAAACATATGCTCACAAAACCTCGCCTAGAGGGCCTGGTCCCAGACTAGTCTTGGCATCCAATACACACACTCACAAATACAGACTATAACACACACACACACACATACAAACACACACACACAAGTACAAACAAAACCAAAACTATCATGCAAGGAACAGTCCAGGGAGGAAGAAAGAGGGGTAGGTAACGGAAAAGATGGGAGGATAATAATCAGGGAATGGACTGCCAGGACACAAAGTGAAACATTTTGGAAAGAAGAACAGAAAACCAAGAAGGATGGAGAAACTGGTTGTCAGATCATTTGTGGTGTCCCAACAGTCAAATACTAGTAGTTAGACTAAGGGATGGATAAAATAAAGTAGCCTGGTTACCAATCCTATTTTAGCTTCTGAGTCTCTTTTGTCTTCTCCGCAAATTGAGAGAGAGGACAAAAGAAACTCTGCAGCTAAAATAGGATTGGTAACCAGGTTAGAGATCAGTTGAAAATGGGGCTGTGCAATAACGAAGAAGAAAAAAAAAACACACATGGAAGAGAAACAAAGCTTTGGAGCAAACATAAGGAGGAATGCACTCAGAATCGGACTTCTTTGCACGAGGGATTAAAGAGGCCATCTACATCAGGGCATTACAACCATCCCTCAACAGAGACGGGGGGGCGCCACAGACTTTCTGCAGCCTATGATCCACTGCTCACGGAGTCACGTGTGTTATCTGCATGACGTCAGGGAAGCGGTGGATTGCTCATTCCTTGACAAAGACTGGAGTTGTATAGTCGAAAATTTGGGTGAGTAAAATTTGTTGTGTTGGAAATTACAGCTTAAACTTGCTGCATAATAAAGAAGAAACGACCCCTGACCTCTCCGACCCACTTGCGTACGAAGATGAGCGGGTTAGCGAGCAGCTCGGGTGACGGCTGGACGGGTTTCTGCCCCCCCTTCCCACCGGACTGAGCCTGCTCCTTCTCCTTATGGATCAACTGTACCAGGAAATCCTGAACAACACATGGCAAATATCAACTATCAACATACGTCGATGAAGGTTAGACATCCAGGTAATACGATACGCCAAAAAACAGTTACACAAGCAACTGGATATGATTTTGAAAACATTAGACGTTTCAGCTAGTATCCACTAGCTTTCGTCCGAAAGCGTTTTACAGTCACTGACGAAAATCCACTAGCTAAAACGTCTGACGTTTTCAAAATCATATCCAGTTGCTTGAGTAAATGAGTAAATGCTTTTTGAATTATCAACATACTATCATGAAAGTTCATCTGTGTTGGTAGTTACATGTTTAAAGTTAAAACTTTTGATCCAACACAAAGAAATCTCTCAGCTAGAGCTTTCGACCAGTCACTCTGGTCTTCCTCTGTCAGTAGACTGACCCAGTGAAGCTTGTCACATGGCTTCTTCTGAAGTGTGACGTCAACACTGGGTCAGTCTACTGAGGAAGACCAGAGTGACTGGTCGAAAGCTCTAGGTGAGAAAATTTTTGTGTTGGACCAAAAGTTTTAACTTTAAACAATTATCAACATCAATCAATCAATTTATCAATATATCAGCTACAGAACCAGGGAATCCTGCACAACACAAGGCGATCAATCATCAATACATCAATAATTATACATGAATATATTGACTACAGCACCTGCAGTACACAGGTCCAAACATGTTGCAAATTTAAGTCAATATAAAAGTAGTTAGGAGCCTGCCCTGGACCAAGATATCTCTAGAGGTTGGGAGTTTGAGTCCCAGCTGTTGTCTCTCATCCAACATGGATGGAAAGCTTAAGGGTTGCAGTCCTTAGGACTGGAATTTAATCTATGGTCCACTGATAATTGTGCTTGTTGAAATGAGCTAGGCAAATTTTCTGGCTACAATGAAGCTGTACCTAGTGTCACCACAAGAGGATAGTTAAGTTAAACACTTTAATAGCAAGCTAAACCGGTGCACTCTCAATTTCAGCACACCTGGTGTACTCTCACTCTCACTTTCAGCACACCTGTGCTCACCTTGGGGTCGAAGGAGACGTTCTTGAGAGAACACTCCAGCAGGTGTCTGTGCAGGTGTCTGTCCTCCTGTTTCAGACGGTCCATCACTCGCTCGGCGATGGCGAAAACCTCCGGCCACTTCGGGAAGCGGGAGTCCACCAGAAGCTTCAGGTACATGGCCAGCTCATAGGGGTGTTCCTCTGGAAAATAGTCATTACAACACAGTTAATGTATGAGTCTCTGTGTGTGTTGTGTGTGTGTATGTGTGTGTATACATGTATGGGTGTGTCTGTGTGTGTGTGTGTGTGATTGTGAGTGTGCACGTGCATGCGTGTGTGCGTGCGTGTTTGTACATGGAGTTTATTTTGGAGCTGAGGTCATACATGTACAGGATATTCAGGACTCACACAAACAAACAAACAAGCAAACCTTGATCAGAGCCCTCCCTATACACCAACTGCAGAGGGAAGAGCCAGTGGATCAGGTACGGTTCATAGCTGCGATCGTACGTGTACAAGATGTTCGCACACACACACACACACACACACACACACACACACACACACACACACACACACAGACAAACAAACACACAAACACACAAACCTTGATCAGAGCCCTCCCTATAAACCAGCTGTAGAGGAAACAGCCAGTGGATCAGGTAGGGTTCGTAGCTGCGATCGTAAGTATACAGGATGTTCAACACTCACACACACACACACACACACACACACACACACACACACAAACAAACAAACCTTGGTCACAGCCCTCCCTGTACACCAGCTGTAGTGGAAAGAGCCAGTGGATGAGGTACGGTTCATAGCTGCGATCGTACGTGTACAAGATGTTCAGGACTCGAGCTGCCTCCTTCAACTGCTCCGGCTGACTGTACGCCTGCATGCCTGGAGTCCGGTCATACATCTGTAAACAACAAACAAACAAACACTCACATTTAATATATTGATAAACAACTTGTAATGGTACAAGGTATGATGGTATGTATGACTTTGTATGCCTTGTGTATACAGAAAGCCCCACTTAAAGCACGAATATGTGTCACAGCAACAACAGGCACGTTTCTATCATGAAAGTTCATCTGTGTTGGTAGTTACTAGTACATGTTTAGAGTTAAAACCTTTGGTCCAACACAAAACAGTTCTCTCACCTGGGCCTAGAGCTTTCGACCAGTCACTCTGGTCTTCCTCAGTAGACTGACTCAGTAGACACATTTCTAAAAATCATTTCTAAATATCATTTCTAAATATTTTGTAAACAAAATTAAATGGCACAGGTCCATGTATCACTCCATGTGTTTGTGCATCAAATGAGTCAGTCTTACAGGTTATAATGTAAACTGTGAACTTCATAGGTATAAAAAACTACGGTTACCAATAACTGTACAATGGTATGGTCTAGTATAAAAATAGTATTGCTAACAACATTACTGTACCTCTATGACGGCATTTTCCACCAGTCCAGAGATAGGAGATCTGGTGGCACTCTTCAGCTTCAGTGCCTGGACACCCTGCACGATGCCTCGTCCGAACCGCTCACGTAGCATCTTCTCTACATTCCTACGGAGGAAAAGTAAAAAATTCAAATTGATTTCTGAGGGTACGATGAGTCAGACCTATTGTTGTCCTTAGTAGTTGGTGATGATGTGATAGAGCTAGATGCCGCCGCGCCGCGTGCCTGCAAAGCTGGTGTGTTAAGCTAAAGGATGATTTTATTCATATCCTTTCTTTTCACTTGCAACATGCCAGTTGAGTGAAATACAACAGTATATCGAAAACTGTTTTATCTATTTATTCCACTTATTTCTGATTTCTATAAACGGTAATTAAAATCCAGCATGTTATGAACTAATGTTAAAAAACAGGACAAAAACAAGCCAAATTCCTTAAGCGCAGAATCTTTGTCTTGAAGACTCCTTACACGGAGTGGTCCTTGATCTTCCTCCTCTCCTCCTTCATTAAGACATCTGTCCAGACATACATCCTTAAGGTTCCCGGCAGCTGCTTTCCGAGCAGCCGGCTGCACACCTAGTGATTAGTTTATTGAAAAGAACAAACAACACATCAGACTTGCAGTAAAAACTGAATTGTGCTGATATTTACAACTTTTAGGATTATGCAATACTAGTAGATATAAAAGGGCAACTTACGCTTGTAATATACTAAATTTATAAAAACCATCGTCATCGTCATATTATTATAATAGTAATACTTGCAAAGGAAATGCATAATGTTTACCTTCAGACATGGTCTGCCCTGTTAATTTTTACTCAAACATATTCACATACATGTACTACTAGTATATGGTGACAGGAGCAGAGCAGACCATGAAATTGCAACATTATGTAACCCAACACCAGTCACCATGGTGACAGACATCAACAAATCATGTCATTGGCCAGGTCAGAGGTTAGTGGTTGGAGAAGAGGAAATTGAGTAAAAACAATATGTTTTCCTTCGGTAAACATAATAAGTAAAACAATATAGTAATACCTCCTGGAGACGTCTTGGGTCTCGCTTTAAGATGGCGACGACGTGTCTGCCGAGGGAGTCGCTGGCCGGGCCCCAGGACTGGGGGGGCTTACCTCCCTGTAACCTCGCTGTGGAGTGACGATCTGTGGGGGGTCAATCAATTGATCAATATATCTTTATTTATTTATTTATTTATTAGACTTCCAATGCAACAGCAAGTAGCATGGAGGAGAGACAAAACAGGTGCATAATTGCACCTCTGCCAGTTGTCTCTCCACATACAAAATACATACTAAAACAGACAATTCAACTGACAACATACTATAACATATTAAGATATATGACAATAATGTGACAACTATAGGGCAGTTATCGTGGCCTTGTGGCCATACAGGTCGTACATCTGCAATATCAATCAATCAATCAATCAATCGAACGGTTCATTAATATACATGTACACGTACAAGTACATGTATGCCTCAAAATAATTGAACAGATATTGTACATATGAATATTAATGGAGCATCCCTCATTACTTCATGACTGGTGCAATAGCTCAATCAGTAAAGTGCTCGCTTTGTACCCGGTCATACTAAAGACTTTAAATACGGTACATATTGCTTTCTCTGCTTAGCACTCAGCATCTATGAGAAAGAGTATGGGAAGGTCAAACACACACCACTACCAGTGGACTAGCCCCCTGCTGTAGTGCTTGCACTACTGTGCAGCCCTAGGCTACAGAAATAGAGATGAGCGCCACCCCTATGCTCTGCACAGAGTAAAAATTACTTCAGATTCTATCACTATGCATTTTGACTGTACAGGGAAAAGGGAAAATGGAACGTAGTGGCTGATGTAAGTCACCTTGTCGTTTCACATCCCCATGCTGCTGGCGGTTGTTGGGGCGGCCGGGCTGTTTTTCTTTCTTCCATGTTGGCTCTTCCTCGTTCTGTAAGGAACATGGGCACTGTGAAAACTACACAATCAGTCCAGAGAAAAAGAAAAATTCAAGACTACAAAAACCAGTCTTTGGTAAGAATTACAATGACAATGAACTTTATTGCGTATTCACACCCTACACGGGCCAAATGCACTAAGTTAGATTTGAGTTAACTTGGGTACAAGAATAGAAGAAGCAATTGTTACATTTGTGTGCTATTTCTCTATCTACAGGATCTAACTACAGGATCTCTGTGCTTTTTGAAACATGTATGAACAAATTACGTAGTTTTTCATTTACATCGTTGCACTTGGATGTCATAATATGTTAAACTTTGAACAATTCTGTTTACAGTCATTAGGAGTTTATGGAAGCCCCTTCACCTGGTAGGTGTGTAACACCTGTCTCACCTGTCTGAGCTGATCCTCTATGACCAGCTGCCTGTCCATGCCTGTGTAGAACACCTGGTACCTGTGTAACACCTGTATCACCTGTCTTAGCTGATCCTCTATGACCATCTGCCTGTCCATGCCTGTGTGGAACACCTGGTACCTGTGTAACACCTGTGACACCTGTCTCACCTGGAGTAGAACACCTGTCTCACCTGGAGTAGAACACCTGTAACACCTGTCTCACCTGTCTGAGCTGATCCTCTATGACCAGCTGCCTGTCCATGCCTGTGTAGAACACCTGGTACCTGTGTAACACCTGTATCACCTGTCTCACCTGTCTGAGCTGATCCTCTATGACCAGCTGCCTGTCCATGCCTGTGTGGAACACCTGGTACCTGTGTAACACCTGTGACACCTGTCTCTCCTGTCTCACCTGGAGTAGAACACCTGTCTCACCTGGAGTAGAACACCTGTAACACCTGTCTCACCTGTCTGAGCTGATCCTCTATGACCAGCTGCCTGTCCATGCCTGTGTAGAACACCTGGTAGGTGTGCTCCACGAATTCAACCATCTCAGGTGCGGTGTCTGCCTGGTAGTCCTGTCCCGGCGCTCGCTGGCAGCCGACGTCCCGCGCCGCCTTGTACAGCTGCTGCTGCAGCCACGCCTGCGCCTCCTTCTTCAGAACGTCCTTACGGGCGGGGTCCACCGCAGGCGGTTCCTGGAAAGTGGAAATTTAATCTTAATCCTTCCTTAAAAACCGGTGCAATAGCTCAATTGGTAGTGCTCGCTTTGTAACCGGGAGGTCTTGAGTTCAAACCCCGGCCGGGTCATACCAAAGACTTTAAAAATGGTACACACTTGCTCTCTGCTTAGCACTCGGCACGTATGAGAAAGAGTGTGGGAGGTCAAGCACACAGCACTACCAGCGGACTCCCCCTGCTGTAGTGCCCTGCACAACTGTGTGTCGCCCAA